GCTACTATACCGAAACGGGACAGTTATTTCTAACGGGACGTATAGCTGATTTTATCCCTATTTATCATAACAATGTATTGAACAGAATTAGCGCACAGACTATTGAATCATATTTGATAAGACATCCGACTATTGGCGCTGCAGTAGTAACCGGTGGTGATGTCGACACCAGTGGTATTTGTAAACTATGTGTTTATATTCAACTAATTGAGTCTAAACTACGTTATGATAATCAATGTCAAAATCATGGTATCAGTGCTGCTGCTGATGAAATTTGCCAATACATTAACGGTTAGTATAATATCTATCTATATATATATATATATATATGATATCTTGAATCTATTATATTTTGTTTTTAGTAGTTTACAATAATTTTTTTTAAATAACTATTTTATAATTTTTATTTTTTTTATATATATATAATTTTATGATATTATATTTTTCAGAAAAATTTTCGGCAATTAAATTGTCGACCAATAATATAGTATTTGTTACGAATATCCGGCGTACATGTGTCGGCAAAATTAACCGAAACTATTATAAACAACTAGCAAAACAAGTCTAACAATATATATATATATATATAATAACATTATTTTTAATTAATTTGATTAAAAAACTATCCTGCTAAAATCGTCTAAATTTAAAAGTTAGATATTTTTCAAAAAACCGCTAATTTATTATTTGCTTATATTTACAGTTTTAAATAAATAATTATTTAATAAAATATATATTTATTTGTTTGTGACAAAAATATGCATAAAAATTCAATGTTAATAATTTTGATTTGTAATAAATGATTTACAATATTAAATTAATTATTAATATGCTTAATAATAATAATAATTAACATTATTATTAAATATTGTTATTGTCTAATTATTTATTTAAATAAATAAAATTTATTAAAATAAAAATGTATTTTACTTTTTTGTTAATTTGTTAAAGATAAAATAATGTTATAATTTATCTTTTTTCTAAATAATTATTTCTTATATTGTTTTATTGACTAACTCAAATAAAAACTAAGATAAAAACTATAATAAATTACTTTATAAAACTTAACATTAATAAAATATTTATATAAAATAATTAGTTAAAATGCAATTCATGTTTTATAAAGTGATTATTTTTTTTAGACAATTTGTTTGAATATAAAATTTATTAATAATAACATTTAAACAAAAAAATATTTTCCAACTTTAATTTCTAAAGTGATTGAATAATTATCATTTTAAAAATAATCAATGTCATTTTTTATTCAAATATTTATTCAATTAAAGAATTTATTCAATAATTATTTTTTCTAAATGACAAAATAATCATTTCATAATAATTTTCAATTTAGTTTAATTTAGATTTCAAATATCTTATATGTATTTATACCATATGTTATATACTAATTTCTAATATAGATATCGTATAATAACTTTACTTAAAAACATGAGCTTATAGTTTACATTAAAATAACTTAAAAATCAATGTATACGTCATATAAAAAAATATATTTCCAAATATACTTACAAAAATTCATATTAAACATTAAATGCTAACTAAAAAAAACTTAAGTAATATCTAAATTAATAAATACGAGTTAGTGTGAAATAATAAAACTAATCAACAAAAATAATGCTAATTATAAATAAAATATTTTAGTTAATTTTATTAATTTTTTAATAATAATTTTTATGATATTAAAGCTGTTTTGAGTAAGTAAAAAAAATAATTTGTGTGAAAACTAATTATTATTAACGAAAAATTTTTAATATTAATATATTATTTATATAATATAATATTAATATAATACAGTTTAGTAACTATGAATATTTACATTATTATTAACAATACTATACAATGTTTTATAATATGATATAATTAGTAAATTTAAAAAATAAACCTAATTTTAAATTATCAATAGAATATAAATCTATATAAATATGATTTTATAGATTAAAATATTAATTTTAAGTAATTTTAATTTAAGTATATTATAAAACATATTATTTTAAAAAATTACTAAAAAGTGTAATTTTTATAAATGCTTATATTATAAGATAAAAATCTTCACAACTTTGAATATACAAACTATTTTAAAACAGTATATTATTTTTTACTAAATTGAGATACTTTTAAAATAAGAAAAATTATTAGTTATAATTTTTTTTAATTTGCATATCTTTTTCATTTAATTAATATGTTTTATTAATTGGTTTTTAAAAAAAATTATATATCAGTTAAAAAACATATTTTTATTTTAAATTCTTCTAATATTTTACGTCAATATAATCAACAACAAAAAAAAATAAAAACATATTTTACATAAAACATATAGATATTGGGTACTTATTTTTTTATTAGTTAGTTAGTGTTATATCCGACTTTTAAACAGTTAAACAAACCAACAATAAGGTATTACATAATAATACTGTTTAAGCATAAGTTTTAAAAAATCATATTTAAAAAAAAAGATTTATTTATAAATGTTTTTTATCAGATAATAATTGATAATACAGTCTATGTTTTCAATAATGATGACAAGCAATAGTAGTTCAATGTCTACTACTGGTGCTACTAATCATCAGCGTTTGTTTATATTGTGGGCACTGGTAGTCATAATTATCTATCTGAGCTGTTTGACTACTATGTGTTCAACTAAACCCGACTGTTCTGAATGTATTGGAGTTGACTAGTATTTTAATAATAATTTGTTTGTTTGTTTGTTTGTTAATTGTTTGCCAAATTATATATATATAGATGTTTAGTATACGATATTTATAATTATATACTGTTTTAATATATATATATATATATATATATATAAATTTATATAATTAAAAATTAAAATTGTGCAAAAATATTAAATTTAATTATTAAAAAAATTGTATATTTTGTTTATAAATTAAATTTAAAGTTTTTTGAATTGATTAATTTTCAGAAATGTTTTAATTTTAATTAATAATAATTTGTTTTTTTCTATTCACAAATATATAATTTGTAGAAAATTGTAATTCACAGCAATATTGTCACAATTATCACTTATAAACTATTATGTATATATAAATTTATATATTCAATAACAATATTGATAAAATGATTAAATATTTTAATTATAATAATTTTTAAATACTAATTAGCATTATTATTTTAAATAAAAAACATTTAATATTGCAAATATAATTTAAATAATTCTTTGAATTTTCGCATTAATTTATACCAAAAAAATAAAAATAATAATTTTATTTTTCAATTTTTTAATAATAAAAATAAATTAAACACTATTATTGTAAAAATATATATAATTAGTTGAAAAATATATAAAGAGAAACTAAAATATAAAAATATAAGTACAAATAATAAAATATTTAAAATAATTTTTAAAAAAAATTAAAATATTACTAATTAAAAGTTATTTTGTCATCTGATGTTCACTATTACAATATAACTTAGCATTGAAATAAATTTCACACTAAATAAGTTTAACATAATTATTTAACCATAAATATTTATTTAATATATACATAAAGTTTTCAAAAAACAATTTTTTGTATAATATTGTTATCTAATGTATTTCTATAGTAAAATATAACTATAATAACATAATAAGTTTAACTATAATTTTCAGTGTTAACAATAACAATTTGATTTAAAGCCAACATTTTCATATTAATATATTAATTTATAATTGCAAAGATATTATGAAAAAATAATTTATAAATAGTTTAAACTGTGTCATTAAAATAGTATTAAATTTTGATAAATATTTTACCAAAATACTGTATACATTATACAGTAAATATATATATATATATATATATATATAAATTACACAATTTTTAAATTTATTACATAATAAACATTTAAATTTATGAAATATTTGTATTAATATATATATATAATATCGGAAGCATTATAAATAAAAACTTTTATTATTAGTAATACTATAGTTGTGTTTATAAAAAAAATAATAATAACCTACTAATCACATTAACAATAAAATAATTATAATAATGATTTTTTGACATGTAGTGATTTATTTATTGTACAAAAATATTAATAGTAAAAGTTATTATTATTATTATTATGGTTTCCTGTCTAATATATGTTTTAGCATTATTGTTAAAAAATATTTTAAATAATAGGTAAGATTTTTTTTAGTGATATATTATGCTAAATATTTTATGTGTATTTTGTTGTCAAAATAAAAAGGGAAGGGATGTTATGGTTTGTATAGTTTGAGAGAGAAATCTATTGAAACAAACTTTTGAATAAAATAAAATATTTATATATATATATATACTGTATATATTAGTGGAACTAATTTTTATTTTTTTTATTTGAATACAATATAATTTTTAGAAAACTTATGTATATATATACAGTATAGTATATATATAATAATAGCAAAAAAATAATAATATAACAGTTAGCTATTAACATCATTAACAATAATAATATATTTAATACTTTATCATAGTATCACAAAATATTATTTTTTTGTCACACAATTTTCATTTCTAACAGTTTATTAATAATAATAATAACTAAAAATAGTAATAATTATGTGCTATATGTGTGGGGGAGTTGTTAACTTCACTATTAATTTACATACCAATCAAACTGATTAACTGTTCAAATATTTTAACATAACAGCAATCTATAGTTTTATAAAAAAAACCATAAATCAAAGTAAAATAATTTATTATTTTTTATTAACAACTTTTTCTATCAATTAATTAATAAAAATTAGTTTTTTATTTAAAATAAAATTATATAATATCCTAAATAAATTGAATAACAATAATATTATACTAATTATAACGTAATATATATATATATATATATTCATATTTATTGTGATTTTACTTAATGTGATATAAACTTAAAGTTTTATTTTTTATATACTTTTAAAAAAAATAAAATTTATATAGATTAAATAAATAAAACTTTTAAATTTAATAATAATAATGTGCAAAATGTTAAAACTATTTAACACATTATCAACAACAACGACAACAACAATGAGCACCTGTATTATGACCACATCAATGTTGGCTATTATAACTATATCGTTGTTAATCCATACCACCGAAACTCAGGTAGCACTGGATCCAGGTGCTCAATTTTTCAATCCCGGTCCAGCCGGTGCAGCCATGTTTAACCGATTTCCCGGCTCACCAGTCGGCAGTCAACTGTATAGCGGCCACCAGTTGTCACCGCTCGGTTCGCTGGCATTCAGTGTTGGCCGCGGCTGTGATTTCCGTTTGGAAAACGACGGCGACTATCAAAAGTGTCGTCAGGAAGCCATTGTCGACTGGGGCGGCACTACCTATACGGACAGGCAGATCAAATATTTGTGCTGTTATACCTGGGATGTTCTAGACTGTATGGAAACGGCTGTCCAGTACAGGTGCGCTCCCGGTGCCGACTACGACATGGAAGACCATTTCCGTAACTTTGCCATACGTAAGACAGAGTTGCGCAACTCTCTGGAAAGATACCAGTGTGTCGACTATCCCTATCGGTCCATATACTGTCACTTTTATTGGTGGGTAATCCTAATTATTTGTATCGTCGTATTGCTGGTAATGTTGGCCGTAGCAGCCATTTGCTATCGATTGGTTAGGAAATCTAGGGGACAGTCAGCCCAGTCGATGAAGACAACCGATGTTAAGGTTCACAGATAATTAGATTATTATGTTTTTAAACTATATTATGTTTGTTTGTATTAAATATATATATACTGTATATATATTGCTAGATGTTTTCTAACACAAAAAAACCTAGATGATTAACAGTCACATTTTCAAAAAAATAAATATTTAAGTTTATTTAATATATTAAATAATAGATTAACAAGTTATAGTAAAATTGTTAGTATAAAAAATTAGTCTGTCTATACTATAGACTCTATACTATTGAATTAGCAATTTTATTATACAATTAGTATATTATTGATATTAATTTTAAAATTTTATCGCTTTTTCATACAATAATATTCACAAAAAACTGTAAAAATAATTATTTTTTATAATTTCAATTCTTTATTTTTAATATATATATATTATTTAGTAACTAATAGTCACTCATAACTTTAATTTTTATTTATCTGCTAGTTTATATTCATATATAAAATTAATCATATTTTATCATTGATAATTAATTATATATTATTTTACTCTACATTTATTTAATTATTAATTAATTGATTTTATAATAACATTTTTTTTGTTTATTTGTTTAATTAATTCACTAATCAATATAATTATTACTATTAATGCCATTCATTACTACCTCTAGCTCTTAATCTCTATCTATTTGATTAATTAGTTTTTATTTGTGTATCAATTAGTAATAAATATATTATTTTGTTTCATTTTTTTGATGGATGACTTTGATAGTCAAAAAATATGTTTTGTTTTTTATATTATTTAATTAATAATATATATAAAATAACAAAATATATTTAATTAAATAATATTATATCTGCATATTATTTACTATATTATTAATTATGATGATCTGGATAATTTTATTATGATACTACTATTACTCCAATATTTACTAATAACCTATTTAATTATTTATTTTATTTAATCAGCATGATAATTTTTAATTATTATTAATATAGCTAACATATCACATTTAATTTACATATTAATCCTATTATATTTTAGTAGCATTATATCAGCCGGCCTTCAATCTAGAGATAAACCATTTAAAAACAATTTCTATAAAAACAAAATTTTAAAAAAATGTTTCACAGCTAAAAAAAATGGGCCTCAAAATTATCCAGGTCAGATATAATTAAAAATTTTATTCATTTTATTTCATTTATTATTATTATTATTATATTTTTTAATTGTTATATTAAGATTTTTAAATATTATTTTTTTAGTTAATGTTTTTTTTGTATTTTTCTCTTTTTTTTATCTATTTTTATGTAAACCATTATCTAAACCGTAATACCAACAAACAAAAATCACCTTGTTGTTTTTGTTGAAATAAAAATTATTATAATGCTAATTCATTATATTTATATAAAAAAAACCTAAAGGAGCAAGCACAGTTAAATGACGCCTTCGATGAGTTTAGATATAAAGATATATTTTGCTATTCAATACATTCATATCATCATTAAAAATAAAATATCTATTTTTTTATTAAAAAAAATAACTAGCCTGTTAAATTTATTTATAATATTAATTTAAATTGTTTGTATATGCTGAAAAATTAATTAAAAATTATTGTTATAGATTTTTTTTTATTAATCTAATAATAAAATGTTATTATACTCTGTATACATACACTAACTTGTAAAACAATCTTAATTTTTCTGTTTTATATTATTATTATTATTATATAAATATATTGAATTTTTTTGTAATATTAAAATTTTAATAAAGTTTATTAAAATAAACTCATTTATATGTGTTTTTATTTAATTTTAAAAATCAACTTTATTTATTATTATTATAATAGAAAAAATCAATAAATAATTTAATAATATATTTTTGATTATTATTACCATAATTTGCAATTTTAAAAAAACTATTTATTAAATAAATAAATTTTTAAAGACAATAAGTGACATTAAATTTTATATAAAAAAAAGTATTTTTGTTTTGTTTTTTCTCTAAATTTTTTAAATAAAAAAAATATTAATAATAACATATGTAGGCAATAATAATAAAAAACTACTTAAATTTTTAAATAAATTAAATAATCATTATAATAATAATATACTTAATTATCAATTTACTTTATTACATAGTACTACTATACTACTTATAATTATAATAATAAAAAAACAACAACAAATAAACATTTTGTTGTATAATATAGTAATCAATCGATTAATTACTTTATTTTTAATAATCAATTTATAAAAACAAAATCAACTAATTATTGTATTTGCCGTATGTATATGTGAGTGTGTGTGTATGTCTAATGTTGTTATATTTGGGGGGCGGGAGGGCGCATATTTGGGTGGGTAGGCTTATGTAGATATATATATATATATATTTTAATTCATTAACTAACTCATTAACAAATTTTTTTTTTCAAAGCGCCCACAGAGAGTAGGGATCTTAGATAAGCTCTCAAAAAAACAACATTAACAACAACACAGCAAATATATAACAACAACAACAAGAATATCAATATCAACAACAAATTTAATAATAGCAATGATTTTTCCATTTTCATGTCTGTGTAGTAAATCTATAGACCAGACACTGGTAGAGAGGGAGTGGGAGAAGTTGGGTGTGAGTGTAGGCCAGGTATGATGTGTGTGTGTGTGTGTGTGTGTGTGTGTGATATATGAAGCGATGTTTTTTTGTTGTTGTTTTTGAATGCAATGATAATATTAATAATGGCTTATGAAATGATGAGATATATATATGTAATCATTAACTATCATTGGATCCATTGTTGTTGGTATCGTCCATAACATTGTGAAGGTGTTGTTGTTGTTGTTGAAGTAGTAGTAGAGGTGACGATACCACCTGTGCTGCCGATACAGCTAAGGTCGGCGGTGTTGACGGCGACGACAATGAGGTGATGGCAGTCTCGCTATTACTGTTGTTGTTGTTGTTTACCATCGAATGCTTAACCACTGATGGCTGAGGCGATAGTGTTGTGGGTGTCGTCGATGTCGTCGTAGACAATGAGTTGTTAGTATTATTACTACTATTTGAGTTGTTGTTACTATTGTTGTTGTTGTTGTTGATGATGGCGGCGGCGGTATTAATCTCAATGATACTGTTGCTATCATCGCACGAGTATTGATCAGTACTACAACCACTACCACTACCGCCGCTACTACTAGTGTTGTTGGTGTCATACTTTTGGCGTTTGGTTATCTCCCGTAACCTATACTCGCAAGCGCTGTTCAATTGGTCAATATCTTTGGGTGCACCCTATCATTGATTATTTAAAAAAAAACAAATAGATATTAATTAATTAAAAAACTTAAGGGAACCGGCAGTAGTGTTCAAACTAGTCATACTTTTATGAGATAAATGCCATCGACATTAGTAAATCGTAAGCACTGTTCGTTGGACATATCAAATCGCATACCAGAGACCAGGTGTGCATTTAGTATGACCCGCAGCGCACCGGATGTTCGCATAACTATTGATAATAAAAGAAAATAAATTTATAAAAAATATATTTTTTTAAAAAATGGTCGACTAATCGATTAGATACCGATCCGCGAGCACAGGCGTTCATCTTTGATAGTGTCGTTCAGCCGCAAACAACCGCGTCCTCGTTCGCGCCACTGGTCAGTAGCGGTCTCCCAGGCGTACAATCGACAGTGCATTTGTAGTACGTTTTGTTCATCTGAATTGTTGATAATTTTTGAAAATACCATTTAAACTATCTGTTAATAACCACTCATATATATATACATACCTTCCTCTCCGGTTTTTACTTCAAATTTACGTTTATTATCGCCACTATTATCGGAACTATTACTGGCAGCCGTAGCCGACAAATCAAGTGCTCCATCACTAGTGGTCTTAATAACTGTAAAAGCACTGTTGGTTGCGAGACCACCGGCTGCACCGCCACCAATGTCACCGTTAAGTTCATTTGAGTCGGATTTAAGACGTTTGGTATCACTTTCAGAGCCGGTATTATCGTCAGCCTTATCATCACTCTTGTGCTTTCTATCACTACTTGAAGCGGCGTTATTGTTGGCCACAAAAACGGCCCGTTCGGCCAAATTCTCACCGAATATAAAGCCTCCCTGACTATTACTGTTATTACTGTTACTGTCGTCGACATCAATACCACTGCTGCTACTACCGGCAGCTGCAACGGCAACTGTTGCGATCACCGCAGCGGCCGTACCGCTAACTCCCGGTGAGGCAGCGGCTGATACCATATCACTACTACTGGAGCTGACAAACGATGATATCGTTGTTGTTGTTGTGCTAGCCGTAGACGCTGTCGAAGCTGCCGCCGCCGCTGCATTGGCTAATGCCGTAGCGGCCAATGATGAAAAAGATGCCGGTTCGTCGCCGCCATTGTGCGACGTAGTATCGGCACCGCATCTGACAATTGACTCGTTGGTCAACAATCGTGTTGACGGACGGAGTATATCCTCTTTCGATAGCGAAACAAACGAAATCGACGCTTTGGTCGGCTCTTTGGCCGAACCTTCTTTGGCTTCGTTGCGATTGGTTGATGAGTCAGCAAAACGCAGCACCGATGGCCTCAACACTGACTTCGACAATGTTGTTGTTGTCGATGACGTCGTCGATGTCGTTATTTTAGTTGTCAATGACTGGAAGGCACTCGTTGTCGAAGACAGTGTACTGTTAGCAGTGGCCCCAAATCGGCTCTCGGCTAATATACTGCCGCCGCCACCATTGTTGCCGCCACTACTACTAGTACTACTACCGATACCGACTGTACCGCCTGTAGAGGCCGTAGTCTGCGAACTGGTGCAAAATGTAGCGCTAAAATAGTTGTTAGCATTGGTTGCCGACGACGATGACGACGACGACGAAGTCGATAGACTACTGGTCACTGACGGTATAGCCGTTGGCGGCAACGATATTGTCGGCACTGGCGGTGTTGTTATTATAGTCGGTGTCGTCGTAGCCGATGATGAGGAACCACTGTTACTAATACTACTACTGCTACTACTCGATAGTCCCAGTCTGGCCGGCGCTAAAATCACCGACGTTGTCCTGCTGTCCTGCGATTGTTGGCCACCATCACTGGTCATAGTATTACTACTCTCCGAACTGTTCGATGATGTAGTACTGACCACTAGCGCTGCTGATGATGACGACGAGTCGCGAGTAGCCGACGATACCGGCGACGTTTGTATAACACTGGCCGCTACCGAACCGCTTGATACTGGACTTGTCGCATGAATACTAAACGGATTGTCCGGTGGCCTTTGCGGGAACGGGTGCTGCTGCTGTTGTCCAACCGGTGACGATGTTGTTGTCGTTGTACTACTATTACCGGTGGCCACCAAAGCCTGTTGTGTTGATGTTGTAGTACTGCTGTTGTTATTGTTGGCGTCCATCGCTACTCCCGTCGGTGTTTAGATATGTTGTCACTTATCTTGTTATGTGTTTTGCTATTTTGTTTGTCAATCAATCAATCAATTGGCGACCACTTTGTGTGTCCACTCATATACAGTATATATCCAAATGTTTTTAGCGGTGTTTTGTAATGTTTGTGTTGTTTTGTTATTATTATTATTATTATTAATATTATTGTTTGTTGTGTTATATAAAATGTGCGACAAAATGGCGGACAATATATATATACAGTAGAGTACAGTGTGTTGTGTTTATCGCTTATAATATACTGTATTAAATAATAGTGTATTTGAATGCAAAATATACTGTAATAATACTAATAAAAAACAATTGACTAGTGATTATGCAGTAAAATATTGAGTCATAAATTACGTCCAGAAAAAAAGTTTTATTTTATTAATTATTATTATTATTATCTTTAAAAAAAATTAAAAAATTATTAAATATTATATATAAAACAAAAATTTTTTGGTATATTTTTTGTTAAAAGTTTTTTTTTTTAATTTATACAATTAGTACACAAATTTTATATACAAATTACTAATCATACAAACTAATTATAATTTGTAATTTAATTAAATAATAATATTGTTATAACATTTTAATTACAGTATATTTAATATTTTGTAAAATTATTATATTATAATAGTTAGATTAAAGTTTAGTTAAGATAATAATCATTTTTTAAAAAACTGTAAATTACTATTAATATTTGATAATTTATATATAAATTAAAATTATAATTATAAAATTAGCATTTACAAGATAAAAAATTTTAATACTATTTAATAATAATTATTATTTAATTAAATACAACTTTAATATTAAAAAAATAAAAAAAATATTCTAATATAAATTGTAAAATAAAATAATAAAATTTATTAAATAAAAATAAACAAAAATAAAATACTAATTAATTAAAACTACTAATTTATAAGTAATGAAATAATTTATTCATTAAATTAATTATTAATTATTTTATTTAAAAAACAGGTAAATATTTTAAATATATATACAAAAAAATACATTAATAAATTTGATACAAATAAACATGTACACTTTTTAATTATATACAATGTATAATTAAATTAATTAAAAACTTTGAACGTAGGCACTATTCTAATTGATGTTGATTTTTTATTATGTTTTTTATTATTTTCCATTGCACAACAATTACCAAGATTATTATTATTATTATCAACATTATCATAATGTAGTAATTTACTTGAATTATTATTAACTAGACGTTCGCAAATTTCCGGTAACTTTCCGATACTATTTTCCTGTTGAATTCGTTCAGATATTTTGCCCAACTTTTTCTGTAATTGTTTATCATTGATTAGACACTCGATAGCATTGAACAGTTCATATTCGTTGCACAGGTAGGCATCCAATTTGATACCATAGCCTTTCTCGTGAACCCGCTGTGCATTATCGTACTGATCGCCAAACAGTGGCAATACTATCATTGGTTTACCAAAATAAAATGTTTCCGTTACGGTATTATTGCCGCCGTGCGTAATGACCAAATCGACCAATGGTAGTACTTGGGTTTGCGGTACCGATGACTGACCCCACATATTTCCCGGTAGATCGTAGTCGTCATGTTTGGGTCCTTTCGATACGATATACCGGTGTCGAGTACGGCCCAGTATAGCCAATAGACGTTTCATGTTTTCAACATCGGCTGCACCCATAGATCCCATAGAAAAGTATATCAATTTTCCCGATTTGTTTTTCATCAGTTGCTCCGGTATTTCAAACTTGTTGTTAGAGTCCACCGATTGTTCGGTGCGCTTAAGATTGTCAAATCTGTACCATTTCGGTGGCAATTCCCGGGCCAATAGATAGTCTAACTCTACGGGATAGCCATAAATGTTCAAATAGGGTGATCCGCGCATAAACTTATATTTTTGTAGTGGCGGTAAACCATGGGATATAATATAGTCGTTGTAGTCGCTCCACGATTCGTATATTATATCGCAAATGGCCTGTCTATGTGTCTCCCATTCCCTACGTATAGAGACACTAGTGGCAATAGATGGTAAACCTAATTAATAAATAACAAAAAATTTATTATTATTAAATAGTTAATTATATATAAGTTACAGTACATACCTAAGCCGGGTGGCGGTAGCCGCTGTTCATCCAGGGCTGCCATCAGCGGATTAAAACTACACGTATGTATCCACGGTATACCTGACTTGACTACTGCCGGCATTTCCAGCACCTGATCCAGTATTATAAGATCCGGTTCAAGAGTTGGCAATAGTTTTTCAATAATGGGATTCAATTGACGCATTTGGCTCATGATTGTTGGGTAGAGAGCTTTTGACAAGTTTTTCAATGTCTCAATAGCATCGGTAGCCGCAATACCACCGGAGCCGACAAATATCGACGACCAGTACTTAGCCGGGTCTTCATCGGCAGGTTTTTCCTGTTGTTGTTGTTGTTGTAATATAATCTCTTCGATGCCATAGTTGACAAGTCGACCCGTCCATTGGCTACCGATGGCAAACAGTGCCCGATGTCCGGCACCGATAAGTACCTGTGCAATGCCTACGGCAGCGTTTACGTGGCCGACGGCCTCCACGGGTATGAATAACACTTTAAGTGATTGCTTTGTCATTGCTTTACAATTAATTTTTAAAAATAACTTTTAAGTAAATAAAATGTTAGAGAAATAAAATCACTTTTTTTTATTGTTGTTGAATAGTATTGAAAATTTATTTATAAATCTTAAGTTAATATTTCTTAGTTTAATTACATTCAAAATATTTGATTGTGATTTTTTCATAAAAATTTTTAAGAGCCGACTGTCCTTTAAATATAAGGTTTTTTCTCCCCTTCAATGATAAATATCTGCATTGATTACAATGTCATTAAGCAATAATTGAATTGTTGTATTATATTTGCTGATAAAAACTTTTTTTAAAAACTAAGACTAAAGTGACGTAATATTAACATTGGATATGATATGATTGACTTTTTAATAAAAAATAAAAATTAATATTAATATATACAGTATATTAGGTTCATTTACAGTATAATGTTGATAAAAAATAGGCCTAAATTGATCATAAGTTAACTAATGTGTGTAAATGTACTTTTAATTATATATCTAATATGATCAAGTACACTTTATACCATATATATATATACCAGTTTTTATCCCCAATGCACTTAAAGATAATAAATTATTTTCAGTTTATTTTAATATAGTTTGCATTTTTTGGGAACATTTTTGCATCATTCATACAATACTGTATTTAAGTTAATCTAACAAAAAAATTGTCTATACAAAATGTACAAGATAAAATATGAAAGTAGCAGGCGCGGTTAAGGAAATTTTTGAAATTAATATTTTAATTGATATATTTTAATATATAATACAATTTTACACATATATATTAAATTTTAGATCAATCGGATCAATATTTTTATAGTTATTAAATAAAATAATTTTTGATTATAATGGGAGGTATACAAGAAAAATCAAACTTTGAACCCCCAAAAAACACCCGTCCCTGGGATCAATTGTCATGAAATTTTTTTTGGTGACATTATAATTATCAATAGATGTTTTTAGGAAAGTGTGGATCTGCTCCGCAAACATAATCTTAAAATTATCAATAATTAAATTATATATATTGAGCCGGTCGGGGAGTTTAAAATTTATAAAAATTATGTAACATCACATGACAAATTAAATGATACAAAAATTAGTTTAAAATATGTGATTTAACTGCAATATGTCAATAATAATTACCAAAATATAAATTATTAATTTTATTAATTATTTTTTTGATAAAAATGATTTTTAATAATTTAATGTTATATTTTTAAAAATTATTATACTTATATATTAATTATTTTTAAATTAGTTTTTAATTGTACAAAGGTGAGCCATATTAAATTATCAAAAATCATTTTTATCAAAAAAATAATTAATAAAATTAATAATTTATATTTTGGTAATTATTATTGATATATTGCAGTTAAATCACATATCTTAAACTAATTTTTGTATCATTTAATTTGTCATGTGATGTTACATAATTTTTATAAATTTTAAACTCCCCGACCGGCTCAATATATATAATTTAATTATTGATAATTTTAAGATTATGTTTGCGGAGCAGATCCACACTTTCCTAAAAACATCTATTGATAATTATAATGTCACCAAAAAAATTTCATGACAATTGATCCCAGGGACGGGTGTTTTTTGGGGGTTCAAAGTTTGATTTTTCTTGTATACCTCCCATTATAATCAAAAATTATTTTATTTAATAACTATAAAAATATTGATCCGATTGATCTAAAATTTAATATATACTGTATGTGTAAAATTGTATTATATATTAAAATATATCAATTAAAATATTAATTTCAAAAATTTCCTTAACCGCGCCTGCTACTTTGTTTTAATTAAATAAAAATAAATTTATTGATAAAATTTGTCATCTAATAAACTTATTATTATTAGTATTATTGAAAAAATCATTTTTTATGCATTTATACTATCAATATATAGTATGTTTAAGATAATATTAATACTAATAACTTTTTATTTGATTAAATTAAATATGGTCAATTATCAAGGACAGTTAGTTGCTTAGAAAAAACTAAAAAAATAAAATAAAACTGCACTTATTATTAGGACAGTGCGTTTTTTTGAAAAATAAATATCAGTGTTGCACTAAATGTTTATATTGTAAATAATTATTGAGTGTAGTTTATTTTTGGTGTTTTTTTTTATTAATAATAAATCAATTAAGTAATTATTATTTATTTTATATTTTAATTGATAAATGTTAAGTGCTTTAATAAAGTGCACATTTCTAAATAAACAATAATTAATATTAAAAAAAACTTGAAAAGTTTTGTTTATTGAAATCTATAATGGCTTTTTGAGTCTGTCTGTGTGTGTGTGTAGCATTTCATTTTGCGAATTTTGAAATTCTGACTTCAGATTCGGTTAGAGGACTACTAATAATGTATTGAAAAGTTACATCAAAATTTTGATATCTCTTCGGGAACATAGACAAAATGGCGGCCAAAGTAAAGAAAATTTTAAGAAATTTTTTTTTAAGTATAGATTTGAATAAAGCATCAAAAACAAGCATAAAAATATACAATAAAATTTTGATATCTCTTTGGGAACATAGAGAAAATGGCGGCCTAATTAAAAAAAAAATAGGTGAAAATTTTAACGTTTAGAATTGTATAGAGCATCAAAAATAATAAATTATTGATCAAAATTATTTTTTTTCAAAAATGGCGGCAAAAGTATAAAAAATTTTAGGTAAAAATTTTAACGTTTAGAATTGAATAGATTATCAAAAATAAGATATTATAAATCAAAATTATTAATTTTTAAAAAGTAAGATTATAGTCAAAGATATTTTGTCATACTGAGTCACTTGATATCCTGAATGACTATAGTTGAGTATATTTTGTTATACCGAGTCATTTGATGCCGTACATGACTAAAGTTGAGTTTATTTTGTCACACTGAGTTATTTGATATCAAACATGACATTTAATTTATGTATATTTGACGTTTTTAGATTTTTATATGTTACTTTATAGCCGCTATAATTATACAAACTAATGGTTTTCAATGATATTCAAGTTTTTTTCTGAAAATGCTTTCTAGCATTCTTAACTGGTTTTTTATGTAATTATAAACAATTCAATATAAACTTAAAATTATTTTTTTGTTAAAAATAATTAATTTTATTTATTCTAATGGATAATGAATTATATTATAGAAAAAACATTTAAAAATTACAATTTATAATAATAAAAAAGCGCAATAAATATTTTAATAAAATTTAAAATAAGAATAAATAAAATTTTATTAAAAAAGTTAATATTAAATATATAAATGAATCAATTAGAGAAAATAAAACATAATTATAAATATTATTATTATTAAACAATATTAAATAATATTAAACAAAATAAAAATTATTAATAATTTAAAATATTAATTTTGTTTTTTAGTTACTGTCTTTTAAAAAATTAATTAAAGTAATTTAGTCTAAAAATAATCTATTATAAATTTTTATTATAAATAATTATTTTGTTAAGTATTTATTACAAATGTACATTAATACAAATATGTATAAAATGCTTAAACTGTATTTTAATTTATTTATTTTAATAAAATATTTTGATTAAATAGATAATTTAGAAACTGTAATCTATACTTATCTTAATTAATTTTTGTATTACTTATAAACTAACTAATATAATTATTTTAATATATTTAATTTAAAATTTAGTATAAACAACTATATGTATTTTATTATTTGTTTATTAAAATAATATAAAAATCTAAATTTATAAATTCATTAATTGCAATTAGCTATAGAATAATTATACCTTAGTTAATTTTAATTAATAAAATTAAAATTAATTATAAAATAATATTATTAAAAATTTTGTAGAAAGTATAGATAATTATTATTAATACAATAAATTAATATTTTTTCATAATAATTGTGTAACTTTTAAGCGCATATAATACTATCAATTTCAGCATAAGTATTTCACTTGTATTAATTAATTTTTATTATAATTTTATCTAAATTTATTAAACTGAATAAATAATAGATATGATTATAATTCTATAAATAAATAAAATAATACTAAAACAATTATATTCTATAATTATTATTATTTAATAACCAAAAAATTAGTTAAAAATTAAGAAATAGCTATAAAATTTCTTTTGAAATTAAAAATTAATTAGAGTTATATATTAATAAAATATGCAATATAAAAATAATTAAAATATATATATATTATAGAAATAATTAAATCAAATATTTGATAACAAAAAATATCTATATTACTTTACAAGATTATATGAGTATTTATAATATATATATATATATAAAACATATATTATTAGTATTAAATAATAGTGAGATTTTATAATCACTAAATGTCAATAAAAAAAAGATTAATTCAAGTGCTATGTTTACAATTATAATTGTTAAAACATACTGTATTAAATTTGTGTATAAAATAAAAGAAAAATTTTACTAAAATTATAAAATCAGAAATTGTATAAATGGCTGAAAAAAACTATTGGGACGATAATGATGTTAAGGCAAGTAATGACAGTTCCATTAGTCAACCGATTGATTCTGAATGGATTATAATGATTTATCGCCGGAGCAAATGGCCGCTTATGAAAGTGAATATGAATTGGCAATTGAAAAGCAAACACTTTTGTTTGGTCAACAGTTACAACAATGCGAGGTTATTGTGGATGCTGTCTATCAAGTGGCCGATTATGTACCAGAATTTAAAACTAAAGAACAAAGCGATTTCTGGAAGAACATAGTAATTATATTTTTTGAAATATTTTAATTTTAAAATTTATTTATAAAGAATTTAATTTTATATATTTAATATTATTCATTTAAAATATATATTTCTGCATAGGTAATACCTAACCTTACTGATATATTAAAAGATGAATTGTTTGCACGATCAACAATTCAAACAAGTTTTTTGGCAATTAATAAATTGATTGGTAACATACAAAATGGATATGCTATTGTTAAGGCTAGTAAAGGTAAAAAATAAGTTATTTTTATTATATAAATATAATATTTTAAATTAATTTTACTGAATAAAATTATAGGTAGCAAACCAGCTATAAATATAGCTAAAAAATATATTATGGAAGCGTTAAAACAATTGGAAGAGTGTATAGATAATGTAAAAAATTTAAAATCAAATGCTATAATTGCTTTTGGCAAACAAACAACAGAAATATTTAATATTATTGGACCCGAAGCAGCAAAATTCATGAAACAAAAAGCTACTAAAATAAAAGCAATTAAGAAACTTTTTGAAGAAAAAAATAAGCTAATTGATAATATTGCTCAATTAAGAGGTAAAAAGTCTATATATTTAAAATTTAATATATTAATACATTAATTTACATAAATCATTTAATATATTATTTATAATAGGAAATATGTATAAATATAAACAACTTATCGATGCTACAGATAATTATGTAAAAAATTTGAAATTAGAACAACAAGAGATTAAAAGTAACTTAAAAGATATTAATAAATTAAAAGATTTAATCGAAACTACTATTAAAAATATACCAGAAACAATTGATGCTCCCACAGAAATGACAAATTATGTAAATATTTTTGGTTTAAAATTGTGGGAAAGAAAATTCAAAACTTTTATTAAGGTATAAAAAATTTTATTGAAATATATTTTTTGCTTAATTAATTTAATATAATTATTTTATTTAAAAAATATATTTATAAATAAATAATTTTTTTTAAATCAATCAGGAAGCAAATCCACATAAAGATTCTGATAAACAATATTATCAAAATGTTATAAGCGTATTGGCTGATCAAATTAAAGACAATAAAAAAAAAGATTACAATCATATAGTTAATGAATTAGAAAATAAAAAGGCTGATTATAGCAAACAATTGGAGACTACTGAATTTAATCTAGATAAATTGTCAGTAGATTTACCGGGACAAGTTGAAAAAATTAACATTGAAATTAATAAATTGTACAATGAAATTGAAGATTTAGAAAAAGATTCACTGGAAGCCTATACTAAGTATGGTCTAAAGGGAAGTGCATTTGTAGAATGCTTGATTAAAGTACGTACAGTTAGCAAATGTATTAACGAGGAAGCGTCAATTTATTTGCCATTGGAAAACATTTTAACAAGTAATTATTTTTTATAATTTTAAATTATATGCAGTAAACTGTCTAATAGATCTAATAGTTAAATTGTTAATTATTCATATACATAATTCAAACGTATAGATAATTTTTAGTAATAAGTATTATTTAAAATTTTAATATAAATTCAATTATTTTATACTTTTTTAATTATTAAGGAATACAATTGTTTGTCAAAATGCACATTGATTATTTATGTGAAAGCGAAACAAAATATGATATCTTTATTGCCGGACAAATGTTGATACGAAAGGTTGAGTTTCTGTCTCATTATAATGTAATGGCTGTCGAATCGTTTTCGCCGTCGCATAAAAAATATAAACAACAATTGGATAATAAATTACAAAAACAATTAACTAATTAATTAGAATATTATTAAAAAAGTTATTTTTATTATTTTGTAAAATTTTAAAATAACTTAAAAATTAATTATATATTAATTCTATAAGAATTGATTGTTATTTCTATTTTTTTAAGTATTAAGACATTTATAATTTTAAACACACATTTAACTAAGTATTTGTTAAATTTTACTGTATTTATATTATATCTTTTAAAAAGCTTATTTCATATGTTAATATAATAAAAATGTTAACAAATAATTTAGAAATATTTTCTATATAATTTTGATTTATAAATATTTCATTTAATATTAAATAAGACTTTAATAATTTATTAATATTGAATTACTTTGTTAATTTAACTAGTAAACTTTATAAATTTGAACCGCCATACATAATACCGTCATCGATGACCAAATTATCAACTATTTGAACGCTTCAATAATAACCGGATCTAAAACATCGGTCATTATTTTTTGTGTCGTCTATCAAACCGGGACTACAAAAAATATATAGATAGTTTTTACATCAAAAATCATACTATTAATATCAAAAATATTAATAATAAATGATTTAAATATATTGTAAAAAATGTTTAACTACTTAATTGTATTGACGTGAACATTGGGTGCCAACTTCAGTGCCAATTCCCGGGTCATCATATCTATGCCTATTTTTGAGACATCGTAGGCCAATGAGTTTTGTTGATAAATAACAATTTTTAAAAAATAATTTATTTGAAAATGGTTGAGTCTTATCCGCCTACCCCTGCCTACCCTGCCTACCCCTAACTTTTTTGCCTACTATTAACATTTCTGCCTACCCCTGCCTACCCCTGCCTACCCCTAACTTTTTTGCCTACCATTAACATTTCTGCCTACCCCTGCCTACCCCTAACTTTTTTGCCTACCATTAACATTTCTGCCTACCCCTGCCTACCCCTAACTTTTTTGCCTACCATTAACATTTCTGCCTACCCCTGCCTACCCCTAACTTTTTTGCCTACCATTAACATTTCTGCCTACCACTGCCTACCCCTAACTTTTTTGCCTACCCCTGCATACCCTTAACATATTTTGCCTACACTTGCCTACCTTTTCCTACTAATAATATTTTTGTTTAACTTAAACTTACTATTAATACTTAAAATAATATAATAGAAAATATTTTTATTTTATGCATAATTTAATAATATTAGTTTATAATTAAATATAAATAAATAATAATAAAAATATATAATTACTTAATTAAAATTACTTGTTTATTATTAAAATAATTATATATTTTTTTATTATTTTATGTTTAATTATATTTATTATAATTATATAAACTTATATTATTAAAAATTTTGCATAAAATAAAAATATTTTCTATTATATTATTTTAAGTATTAATAGTAAGTTTAAGTTAAACAAAAATATTATTAGTAGGAAAAGGTAGGCAAGTGTAGGCAAAATATGTTAAGGGTATGCAGGGGTAGGCAAGAAAGTTAGGGGTAGGCAAGAGTAGGCAGGGGTAGGCAGAAATGTTAGGGGTAGGCAGGGGTAGGCAAAATATGTTAGGGGTAGGCAGGGGTAGGCAAAAATATTTGGGGTAGGCAGGGGTAGGCAAAAATATTTGGGGTAGGCAAGGGTAGGCAAGGCAAGCAGGGGTAGGCGGATAAGACCCAACCTTTGAAAATATTTTCTATATTATTATTCTGTCACAACAGTTAAACTTAAATTATTATTATTTTATTAATACTTTAAAATATAATATTTAATAATTTAAGACAATTTTATTTAATAATTACCGTAACCATTGATGCAATACTGGAAATATTAATAATAGTTTTTTGTAGATACTGTGCCGACAAATGATTAACTGGACATATAATACCCGCATTGTTAACCAAACCATTTGTTTGTTATAAATATATTATATAATATCTATATTACTATATAAATAAATAAGAAATATTTTTATAAACTGTTTTAGTTTTAATATTAGTTTGAATAAATTTTTTTTTTATATTTCAATATATTATAATATAAATTATTAAGTAATTGAATATCATTGCCGATTGTAGAAAATAGTCAAAAAACATAATACAACAATTAAGTCGACAATTGATAGCTGTTTTGATTGAATTCGTGATTATTTTTATTTTTATCAATTATCTTGTTTAACAACTTGAGATAAGCAAAGATAAGAAAGTTTATAGTAAATTTCTCATGAATAAATTTCAATAGAACTTTAACTTTGTTGTTGTTGTTATACTATATATCTATTGTTATTTTATAATTATATTAAAGATATATAACACTATACATACAATATAATGTTATTTAATGCACAATAAACTATTATACAAATATTATATAATAATTCATCTTTTTATTATATCATAGTTTAATCTAATTAAATTAATTAATTTTTTAGTTTTTTTTAAATTAAAATACTAATACTAATATTTAATTATTATTTGTAATACCAGTGCATATACTCCCTTTGCAATTACTTAATTAAAAATGTTAACATTATATATTATTCATTAATAATAGAATTTTGTTTCATTTTAAAAAAAATATTACAAATAATAAAAACAATAAATAAATAAAATATTTTATTATTTTTTATTTTAGTTAAAACATATTTATATTATTGATAAGATAATTTTCTATGTAAATGAAAAAAGACAATAAATTATTAGGAAATATATTTTATTTGGGTATTATTATATTAAATTTAGACTGATTAGTTTTTTTTAGTTAAATAATAAATTGATAAAATTTGACATATTAAAATAACTGATTGTGTGAAATGTTTTTAAATAAAATCTTAATAATTTGTTTAATAACTTTGAAATACAAATAAAATTTTAATATAACAAAATATAAATTTTAAAAGATTTAAATAAAATCTATAAAATTTTTAACTTTTTTTACTTATTAATTCATCAAATAATTAATAAAAATTCAAAATTTATAGTAATCTATAGAATAGTTTTTTTTTTAAAATAATTATTACTTTTGTGAAACTAATAAAAAATATTATTTTTATTGAAGTAATAGAAACGTAAAAATTTATTTAAGTTAATTTACTGATAATTAATTTAGTTATTTAATTAATTAATAAAGAAATTTTTTCGTTTCTATGTAATATTAGATTATATAATAATTGTTTTAAAAAAAAACAGCAAATAATAGGCTGTAAATCAAGTTATATTTGTATTTTATTTATTAAGTTTTTAAATTTTATTATTTTGCTTGTAATATAAAAACACTATGCATGTATAATTGAATTATCAGTAAACATTTTTAAAAATTATAATTTATAAAGTTTTTTCTTTTATTATTATATAAAGAAATATATTTAGATTACTTAACATTTCAAAAAAAACTATATTCTCATTATATAATATAATTTATACTAAAAAAATAAAAAAAAATAAAATTAATTAAAAAATAATGTCTGATGACTTTGACTATTGGGATGACAATGACGATGAAGATTCTGGATCTACTAATAATGATAACTCAGTTATACTGCAACCTATGTCTGGCAAAGAGCTACAGGAGTTGTCTCCCGACAAAATGGCCGCCTATGAGGGCAACTACGAGTCGGCTATTATGAAAGAGACCGTTAATTTTGGTCGTCAACTAAAACAATGCGAATCTATTGTTACCGCTGCCTATCAAGTGGCCGATTATGTGCCGGAAATTAAAAATGAAGAACAAACCAAATTCTGGAAACAAACTGTAATTATTAAAAAAAACAATTTTTTCCTATTTATTATTAATTTCATTATATAACAATTTTTTCTATTTATAAGTCTAATAATTAATATATCTATAATTTTTTAATTAATTAATTAATTTACAAAAAATTATTGTAATAACTATTTTTTTAAATATAAATATATACCGTAAGTTGACAAAACTAATTTAAGTAGTTTGCAAACTATTACTCTATTAGTGTAATATATAGTAAATTAATAAAGAATTTATAGGTAAGTAATAGGGATTTAATAGTGAATTTATAGGGAATTTACAGGGAATTTACTTAAGTTTGAAAAAATAGTCGGTTAAAATTCCAATTAAAAATTGTTCACCCCACCCTACACTCCAATCAAACTTTTTCGAGATTTTTGCTATTTATCCCCCCCTATACCGCCCCTGAAATCAAAACCTTTTGAATAAAATATATATATAAATTTATAAATTATTATTAAAAATAATTAATAATATTTTATTTGACACCCTTTTTTTGTTGCTTACAGATTATTCCCATTTTGGTGGACAGCCTTAAACAGGATGTATTGGCCCGATCGGCAATAACAACCAGTTTTGCAGCCGTACGCGATCTGTCTATTACTATACAAAAGGCCTACGAGATTGTTAAGTCTAGCAAAGGTATGAACAATATATATATTTATAACAAAGTTTTTTTTTATAATTTTAAATAATAATTTTTATTCTATTTAATCATAAAATTAAAAAAACTTTAGTTAACATATAATTTTAATTATATTTATAATAAAAGGCAGTCAGACAGCCATAACAATTGCCCAGAAAAACATACCGAAAGCATTGAACCGTTTGAACGATTGTATAGAAAGGGCCCAACAGTTGGACTCGAGTGCTATCACTATATTCGGTGAACAGACAACTGAAATCTTTAATATCATTGGTCCGGAAGCGGCAAAGTTTGCGGAAGAAAAAGCTAAAAAACAACATCAGATTAATAAGTATTTTGAGGAAAAAAATAATTTGATTCATCCGATTGCACAGTTAAATGGTTAGTACGATATTTTTAAGTTTTTTTTCTTGATTTTAGTAAATAATTCTATAGTACTGTATTATTATTATTATTATTATTTCATATTAATTTTCATTAAAAACTTTGTTGTTGTTATTGTTTATGATTTAAAAATCAGGTGATATTGAAAAATATAATCATCTAATCAATGCAACCAACAAATACTTGGGTCGGGTTGAGTCGGAATTGGTTGAAACTAAACGCCGTACTGAGGAAATGTATCGATTGAAAAGGGATGCCCAGGAGTCCATCAAAAATATACCGGACACTTATAAAGTAGCCAAAGAACACACTAAATCAACTAGTTTTTTAAACATTAATATTTGTTCACAAACATCAATGATTCTTGTTGATGTAAGTTTTTTACTTTAATTTTTTTTAATAAAAAAAGAGACTATTATTTAATAAGAAGATTATATTAGAGCTTAGAATAAGTTAGTTTACATTTATTTTGTTTATTTTTTTTGAATTATTTTTTGAATTATTTTTTGAATTATTTTTTGAATTATTTTTTGAATTATATTTTGAATTATTTTTTGAATTATTTTTTGAATTATTATTTTGAACTATAGGAACATTATCCGCATAAAGAATCCGATTTGAAACACTATGAAAATGCTATCCGCGTTCACGCCGACCAACTAAAAGTTAATCAGGACATCGAAACGGGTAAACAGTTAGCTATGGAAAAACTATCCAAATATAAGGCCGACTATGAAAAACAATTGAATGAAGCGGTTATACAATTGCAACAATTGAACGCAGATTTGCCAAATCAAGCGGAAAAAATTGATAAACAAATTAATAAGTTGTACGAAGAAATTGATGACATAGATAGGGATGCATTGGAAGCGTACAGTAAGTATGGACTACAGGGCAATACATTAGTAGACTGTCTGATAAGTGTCCGAACATTTGCAAAATCTATTAAACCGGGAGCGTCGGCATATTCGCCCCTATACTCTATATTAACTGGTAATTTATATTATATATTTTATACTATTTATAAAATTATATATATATATATATTTATATATAATTTATATCTAAATTATATATTATTTTTTTAAATTTTTAAAAATACAATTAGATTCTAATACTTAATATTCTAAATTAAAATATTAGTATAAATAATATTATTATTATTATTGTACATTAGCTATTCAGTAGTTTTAATTTAAAAAAAAAATTAAAATAAAAATAAGCATTTTATTATCAGTAATTAAATCTATTGTATATATATATCTAAATTAGTACTAATATTTTAAATTAAAATATTAGTATAAATCTTATTATTATGTATATTAGTTATTCAGTAGTATTAATTATTTTAAAAAATAAAAATAAAATAAAAATAACCCCCCCCCCTTACTTAACCGTGATCTAAATTATATATTATTTTTTAGATTTTTAAAAATATAATTAGATTTTAATACTTAATATTCTAAATTAAAGTAATACTATAAATATCATTATTATTGTACATTAGTTATTCAGTAGTATTAATTTAAAAAAACATAAAATAAAAATAAGCATTTTATTATTTAGGAATTAAATCAATAGTTGAATCGTATGTTGACTATTTGAGCATGGGCACAAAAAAATATGAAATATTTATGGCTGGCGAAATGTTGATGCGCCAGGTTGAATTTCTATCAGAATATAATGTTATGGCTATCGACACGTTTGCACCGTCCGATCAATACAAGGAACAATCAAAAGGTTTGGATGACAAAATGAACCTGGCTATTACTGAAACCTAGATAATTAATCTAAATATATATATCTATGGTTTAAACCTAAAAATTAGAGTATACTTATACTTATATTATAATTATTCAAGTTTTTAACTTTATATAATAAAGTAAAAATAATATATTGTGTAATTTTATTATATACAAATTACAATAAAATATAATTTTGATATTTATTTTATTATTCAAATGTCCAATGTAACTATATATATATATTCTATATAAATAATTTAAATGACAATTAAAAAATTTGCTAGCTAACATTTAATGGACAAGGCTAATTTTTGACATATTAAAATTAATTTGTTTCCAAAAATATCAATTAATTTGCAACAATTATAAATTATTAGCAGTTAATATTAACTTTAAATTGGTGTTTTAATTAGTCATTTGTAATATTTAACAATAAGACTTAAACTAAGTAATTTACAACTTAAAAAATATTTTTTAGGGTTTTATTTTATTACATAATTAGTTAAATGAACAAAATTTTAGTTTTAATTAAATATCTTTTTAAATATTATATATTTATTTAATATAAATATATATATATATAATTATTGTCTATTCACATTGTTCAATTTGCCAACAACGTTTTTTTTGTGATACACTGTAATTGATTTTCGTACATTGTTTGAATAATTTAGCAAATATTGTGCATGGTCAATTAACATTTTTTGACCAATCAAAACATCAGATAACAATTGACTGGTTAACATTTCGACTGGACATTTGATTTCGTATCTAATTTCTTAATAAGCAACAAAAAAAATAATTAAAAAAAGATTATTAAAAATTAATATATTGATCTAAATACTGATATTTTAAATATATATATATAAAATTAATTAATCAAAAAATAATTGACAAGTATACAGTAATCTATAAATATATATATTAATTTTTGTTTTATTAATTAATCTAAAATTTTACAATTATAAAAATTACAGTTTTCAAAAATAAAATTGCAAATTAACTATGCAGTTAATATTATGTATGTTTATATATTGTGCAAATAGTTTGGCAATACCGGCACCGATACCACTACTGGAACCGGTAGTCGAAAATTTCGATCACATTGTCCATAGTTTGTGGCAATTATTGAAATAAATGTGTAGACAATAACTTTGGACAACATTTTTAATATTATTATTATTGATATTTAAATAATTTTAAAATAGTATTAGAATATAAGTTTTAATTATATTTTGTATTTATATTTTAGTAGTTAACTAATATAATAACTTGTTTAGCTTTTATACAAGTTTATTTTGCTTTATAACCTTGAACAATTATTTTAGTATAATTGCGCTTGATAACTTACTGTTAACAATAATATAATGTTAATCTAACTTTTTACTATAGTTTTTAATAATTCAATTTAGTACAGCTGGACTTGATAATAACTAAGTATCCAATTTGTAATTTATTAAATTAAATAAATAACAATAGTTATTATTTTGAAAAATTAGTTATTTAATTCAAATTTTAGAAATGTTTTGATAAAATGTTATAATAATTACAAAAACAGAATAAAAATATGTTTTTAATTTAAAAAATAACTAATATATCTATTTTTTATTATTTAATAATAAATATAAAACTTTTGTTTTAATTACTAATTTATAACATAATTGTTAATGTAATTACAGTAATTAAAAACATTCATAACTTTAGATATTTATTTTTTATTCACTAATATCTAATATGATACGTTGTATTTAAAAAAAAATAATAAAATTTATAAAACTAAATAAGTAATTTAAAAGTGTAAATAAATAAATTATTTTATTTTAAATAAATATATTGATCTAGATTTATTATTTTTTAATTAAATAATAAGTATAATCTAATATTTATAAAATCAATATTATTATTTAATACAAAGTTTAATAATCTAGTTTTCATAACAATATCAATAATAATATTCTAATCAATTATGCAATTGTTAGATATTAGCATAAATTAGGTTTTTCATTAATTAAAATTTAATTTGGTATTAATTTAAAAAAATAGTTTTTTATATAAAATTCCTATTTTGACTATTAAAATATTACTACATAAATAATGTAATTAATTATTTTTAGTATATTTTTTGCAAAACAAAATTAAAACGATTTCACTGTTTAATTGCATTATAAATAAATATTAATAAAATATATTAGTAATTGATAATTATTTGATATTTTTTTTTAAAAAAAATTACGCATCTATTACGCAAACATATACATTACATTATATAAAAATATAAATCAATTTATAACTATAACTATTTTTTATTAGATTAAAATTAAAACAAAATTTTTTATCAATAATAGTTAATTCTTTGATAATTATTATTATTTTTAAATTTTAATGAAATTATTTATTTTAATGAATTATTATACAAAATAATAAGATTAAATAATACTATAAATCACAAGTCTATTATTATTTTATAAAATATCTAAAATTGTGATATTTTATTTAAACTAAAAAAATTTTAAAATAACTTTTTATTTTATTTAATAAACAGTTTTAAAATAATATGAATATTAATAATTTATTTTTTTTAAAACTACAAGGTCATAAATTATTAGAAAAAATTAATAATTTATACATAGATTAGAGTAGTTTGTATAAATTGATTAGTTTTTTTATATTTTAGGATTTGTCAGGAAATAACAAATAAGAAAGTTATATAACATTTTATATTTTAACTATAAATGAGCATAACTTTTAAACGGATAATTATATGTAAACTTTTATTTTACAAAAATATTAATAATACCAAAATTGTTAATATGATATATAAATTACAATTCAATAACATTTAATAAAAATATAAAATTGAAATATAAGATTATAAATTCATTTTTATAAATGTTACCCTTGAGTTACCAATAATATTATTTATCAAATAGTATGCTCTCAGTCCAAGAAATAAACATATAGTGAGATACTAATGGTAACTTTGAGGGTAAAAATGTAAAAAAAAATAATATTTATTATTGATTTAGTGTTTTTATTTAAAAAATGTCTGATTCTACATATCTTTCTAACAAAAATTGCAATATATGTAATGTATTATAAGACTAGATAATGTTAAAAAATATAAATATTAGACGTGTCAATAATAATTTATTGTAAGTAATTCAAGATATTTATCAAACAATAAACAACATATTAATATATTGATAATATATTTCCTGATACATTCAGTTTATTTTAATTGTATTTATATTTAATAATTAATTATTTTATCACTTATATTTATGTATTTCTATTTTAATTTTTGTAAATAAATGATTTTAGATTTTATGTAAAATAATTTTAAGTAATAATTTGTTACATCACAAAATAATCTCAATTTCTTTTCTTGACAAAACCAAAGGTTTATTTAAGTTATGATATTATACTAAAATAATTTATTATTATTATTAAATAATATTTTAACAATATAAATTTATAATACTTTTAATAATAGTTACTAAGTAGTATTATCAATATTTATCTATTTATTTTATAAATGAAAAAACTAATATATTATTATTAAATATCTATTAAGTATATTAAGTAGTTTATATAAATGATTATTATTATTTTCTAATTTAAGTGTTTAACATTAAGTCATTGCAATTTACTAAATATATAACAAATTATCAAAAGATTATATTATCAATAAATTATAATAAAAACCAGTTAAGAATGCTAGAAAGCATTATTAGAAAAAAAAACTTTGACGACATAAATTATTATCTTCGCAAATTAATTGTCAGTTGACTTTAGTCATTTAGTAAAATGACAAAATAAACTTAACTTTAGTCATGTAGGGTATCAAATGATTCAGTATGACAAAATATACTCAACTTTAATCATGTAGGGTATCGAATGACTCGGTATGACATAATAAACCAAACTTTAGTCATGTGCGGTATTAAATGATTAAGTATAACAAAATAAACAGCTAAAATCATACTTTGCCGCCATTTTTGAAAAAATAAAATAATAATTCTGATATATTATATCTTATTTTTGATGCTCTAAACAATTCTAAACGTTAAAATTGTTACCTAAAATTTTTTACTTTGGCCGCCATTTTCTCTGTTTCTGAAGAGATATCAAAATTTTAAGGCATATTTCTTATGCTTATTTTTGATGCTTTATTCAAATCTATTCTTAAAATTTTTTGTACTTTGGCCGCCATTTTGTCTATGTTCCCGAAGATATATCAAAATTTTAATACAACTTTTCAATAGATTATTAGTAGTCCTCTAACCGAATCTGAAGTCAGAATTTCAAAATTCGCAAAATGAAATGCTACACACAGACAGACAGACTCAAAAAGCCATTATAGATTTCAGTAAACAAAACTTTTCAAGTTTTTTTTGAACAAAACTTTTCAAGTTTTTTTTGAAAATAATTGATATAAAAGTTATAGTATCTTAAAAACACAAAATTATTTCTTAACATTTCAAGTGTAAAATGTTAAAAACGATTTAAAACAATATACTATTATAAGTAACTTAAAAACTAACAAAAAAAAATATTATAAATTATAAAGTATTATACGGTATATAATAACAATAAAAATAGATAAAAAATGTCCGATGACTATGACTATTATGGCGACAACGATAACGATAGTACTGGCGATTTAGCCATCGATACTATATCAGAGGTACCGATGCCTATGTCTGGCAAAGAACTACAAGAGCTGACTCCCGACAAAATGGCCGCCTATGAAGACAACTACGAGTTGGCCATTAGGAAACAGACTGTAAATTTTGGTCATCAACTGCAACATTGCGAAACTATTGTTACCGCTGCCTATAAAGTGGCCGATTATGTGCCGGAAATTAAAAATGCCGAACAAAGCAAGTTCTGGAAAGAAACTGTAATTATTATTAATTAAAACAATTTGCTATTTATTATTAATTAATTTATAGTTATAATTAGTTATATAGTTAGTTATTTATAGTTATAGTTAGTTATATAGTTAGTTATTTGTAATAATAGTTTGTTATATAGTTAGTTATATTGTTAGTTATTTATAGTTATAGTTAGTTATATAGTTAATTATTTATAGTTAGTTATTTATAGTTTTAAATTTAATTTAAAAAAATGTATAATAAAATACTTACTATTATTATTTGATTAGCTTATTCCTATTTTGGTGGACAGCCTAAAACAGGATGTATTGGCCCGATCGACAATAACGGCTAGTTTTGCAGCCGTACGCGACTTAACTATTACTATACAGAAAGCCTACGAGATTGTTAAGGCTAGCAAAGGTATTATAATTATATTAATATATATGAAACTATTATAATATATATTTATATATAACTGTTATATATTAACAGGCAGTCAGACAGCCATAGCAATTGCCCAGAAAAACATACCGAAAGCATTGAACCGTTTGGACGATTGTATCGAAAGGGCTAATAAATTAGATTCAAATGCTATCACTATATTCGGTGAACAGACAACTGAAATCTTTAAGATCATTGGTCCGGAAGCGGCAAAGTTTATGGAAAATAAGGTCATAAAACAACAACAAATTAAAAAATATTTTGAAGATAAAAATAATTTAATTTATCCAATCGCACAGTTAAATGGTAAGTGTCTATAAAAGTTATATATATGTGTTTATATAGGTGTGTGTGTGTGTGTGTGACTGGGTATTTAATTTTTTTATCAAATAATTCGATGATAAACTTAAAATATTGATTAAATGTTTTAATTATATTAAAAAGTTTTAAATATAATAATCGTAATATTTACTGTTAATCAAGTTAATTATTTACAGTATGAACATATAGTACTTGAATAATTAAAAAAAATATATTAATCTATTTTAACATAACAGGCGTTTCATTCAATCAATCATTTAATCAATGCTAACAACAAATACTTATAATAATTAAATTTTTATTTAATTGTTACTGTAATTATACATTATATAAAAGTAATCAAATTAATAGTTAATACAGTATTTTATTTAAATTTTTTTTTTTAAATAAACTTTTAGGCGATATTGAAAAATATAATCATCTAATCAATGCAACCAACAAATACTTGGGTCGGGTTGAGTCGGAATTGGATGAAACTAAACGCCGTACTGAGGAAATGTATCGATTGAAAAGGGATGCCCAGGAGTCCATCAAAAATATACCGGACACTATTAAAGTTGCTAAACAACAAACTGAATCATTTAGTTTTTGGGGTATAAGATGGTGGTCAGAAACTAAAACTAAATATGTTGATGTATGTTTTCAAAATAGGTTTTTATGAAATTAAAATTTAATTGTTAATTTTTTTTTGCTTTTTATAAAACTTCTTTAAAAACTATTATTATATATTTTGTTTTATAGTTTTATTATTAAGTTTAGTATAAATTAGTTTACAATTATGTTGTTTTTTGTTGAATTATTAGAATTTACATTCAAAAAAAAATCTTCAATATAAGTATTATAAGTTTTATTATTTTGAATTTGAATATAATTATTACTATAAATTATTATAAATATTAATAATAATAAAATATTATAATTAATTATTATTTTGAACTATAGGAACATAATCCGCATAAAGAGTCCGATTTGAAACACTATGAAAATGCTGTCCGCGTTCACGCCGATCAAGTAAAGGCTAACCAGTCCGTAGAAACCGGTAAACAGTTGGCAATGGAAAAACTGTCCGCAGATAAGGCCAACTATGAGAGACAATTAAAGGAAACAGTTATAAAATTGCAAGATTTGAATAAACAATTACCAATTCAAGTGGAAAATATTGATAAACAAATTAATAAATTGTATAAAGAGATCGATGATATAGATAGGGATGCGTTGGAAGCGTACAGTAAGTATGGACTACAGGGCAATACATTAGTAGACTGTTTGATAAGTGTCCGAACATTTGCTAAAGCTATTAAACCTGGAGCGTCGGCATATTCGCCCCTATACTCTATATTAACCGGTAATTTATATTATAATATTTAAATAATATTAAATATAATTTATATCTACATTATATATTATTTTTTAGATTTTGAAAAAATATAATTAGATTCTAATATTTAATATTCTAAATTAAAGTAGTACTATAAATATTATTATTATTATTATTGTATATTAGTTATTCAGTAGTATTATTTTTTTCAAAAAAAAATAATACAAAAATAAGCATTTTATTTTCAGGAATTAAATCGATTGTATATATATATCTAAATTATATACTATTTTTTTAGATTTTTAAAAATATAATTAGATTTTAATAATTAACATATAAACTAAACTATTACTATAAATATTATTATTATTATGTATATTAGTTATTCAGTAGTATTAATTTTTTTAAAAAAAACATAAAATAAAAATAAGTATTTTATTTTTTTAGGAATTAAATCGATAGTTGAATCCTATGTTGACTATTTGAGCATGGGCACAAAAAAATATGAAATATTTATGGCTGGCGAAATGTTGATGCGCCAGGTTGAATTTCTATCACAATATAATGTTATGGCTATTGATATATTTGCACCGTCCGATCAATACAAGGAACAATCAAAAGGTTTGGACAGCAAAATGAATCTGGCTATTACTGAAACCTAGATGATTTATCAATATATATATATATATATGGTTTAAAACTAAAAATTAGAGTATACTTATATTACAATTATTCAAGTTTTAATTTTATGTAATAAAATAAAAATAATATATTGTGTAATTTTATTATATATAAATACCAATAAAATATTTTTAGATATTTTGATTTGATATTTATTTTATTATTCAAATGTCCAATGTAACTGTATATATCATATATATATATATATATATTCAATATATAGTTATATTATAGATTCAATATAATATATAGTCTATATAAATAATTTAAAAGATGATTGAAAAAATTGCTGGCTAATATTTAATGAACTAGGCTAATTTTTTTGACATATTAAAATTTATTTGTTTTCAAAATACTCCATTAGTTTGCAACAATTATAAATTATTAGCAGTTAATATCAAAAATAACTTGAAATTAATGTTTCAATTAGTTATTTATAACAATTGAGAAGATACTAACTAAATAATTTACAACTAATAAATTATAAACTATTTTTGGGGGGTTTAATGTATTACATAATTAGTTAAATGAACAAAATTTTTAGTTTTAATTAAATATCTTTTTAAATATTATATATTTATTTAATATAAGTATATATATATATATATATAATTATAAGTATTGTTTATTGACATTGTTCAATTTGCCAACAACGTTTTTTATGATACACTGTAATTGATTTTCGTACATTGTTTGAATAATTTAGCAAATATGGTGCATGGTCAATTAACATTTTTTGACCAATCAAAACATCAGATAACAATAGACTGGTTAACATTTCGACTGGACATTCAATTTCGGATCTAATTTCTTAATAATCAACAAAAAAAATATTTAAAAATCTATTATATTTTAATATTTTTAAAAATATATATATACTGTATTACCTGACAATATTGATCTGATTGTTGCATAAACTGGTGTAGTGTTGTGTATTGTTCGGCAAAATAAACGTAAAGCTACTAAAAAATCAATCAATAATTTCCCGTTTAGTCCAATATGTGTTTCAATATAATTGCTTCGATGTCTAATTTTAGCTAGTTCATTTTGTGCCAATTGTATTTGTTCCGTATTTATACAAATATTATTGTCAATAGATTTGACCATGGTATCCAATTGTGCCAATGTTCTATTATAATCAGATTTATCATGTTCAATTTCTAATAAACAATTAGCTAGACTATCTAGTATGTTATTGCGATCACATTTTTTGTTAGTCAAAATCATTTCATTAATTTGCATACGAATTTGTAGTCTATTATTATTATTATTTGTGAAACATTTCTGTAAATTTCTTTGTAAGTTTCTGTTCAACAATGATTTCGTACGACAAAGTTCTCGAATATTTTGCTTATTAAAAATTAGCTGAGCATTTAAATTGTCAATTTGATTAGTTAACTTTTTAATATTTTTATCTAATAAAATTAGCTTATCTATAGAAAAATATAAAATAATAAATTAACATATTATTTATTTTTTAAAAAAAAATTTATGATAATAACTAAATTATTTAAATCAAAATTACCTTGTTGATTTTGTAAATCTAATGCTAACTGATGCTGTTTAAATTGACATTGTTCAATTTCAATTTCTAGCTGCGCTTTTCGATCAATATACAGTGCAGCATCGGGACCGATAATTTCAAATAAACTTTCCGTAAATTCCGTAAACATTACAAACGCTTTAGATTCTAATTTTTCTGTATCATCTAGCAACATTATAAGTCTATGTAAATCATCGGGTATAATATTACGAACAATTTTAATATTTTCTACAAAAATTTCAATAAAAAAATAATAATAATATCTAAAATTTTGTAATTTTTTAAAATAATAAATACCTTGATTGTATTGTAAAATACTATTAGCTTTAATGATATTAGTTGATAGTTTACTAACAATAGTAAAACCTTTACGTATTATTTGTCTAGCTTGAGCTTCATGATATAATGTTTGATTTACCATGTTTATTATCTAGTAATTAGAAAAAAAATTATTAATTAAATTTAGTATTTTAAAAAATCATTTTATAATTTTTTTCAATGTATACTAACATTGTTCCAAAATATTGTTTGTTGATGATTTTGAAATTTAGCTGGCACATAATTTGCAATATTATTAGCACATTGGACAACAGTGTTTAAATATTTAATTGAATTGTTTAAATTTTTTTCATCATTACTTAAACTATATTTATTATTTAATGACATATTTAAAAAATAAATAAATCTAAATTTTATTAATTTATAATACAAAATATCTAAAAAAATACAATATATTTTATAATTTATAAATAATTATATTTATTAAATTAATGAATTTAGTACAAAATTAATTAAAAATAAAATATTTCAATTTAATTTATTTGACTGAGTATTTTATTATTTTTAACATTAACTGATAATTAAGTATAATATTACTGTACATATAATATAATTATGAACATAACAACATTTGATAATAACTATGGTTATTAAAAAACAATTTTTTATTTACAGTTAAATAATATTTTTTAATGTCAATAGTGTAATGCATAATATTGTTTACAATAATTTATTATTTTAAGTACAATGTTTGAAAAATATGATATAGTATTACTGTATATTTATTTTACTATTAATTTGGTGTATATTTTGAAATACATTTGACATTTTATTATAAACAGTACATTAATATTAATTAATAATATTAAAAGTAATTGTAATAATAATATTGTTAGCAAAAAATGTCAGTTAAATTATAAGTTAAAGTTTTGTTTCCATATAAATTTAAATACTACTTAAATATATACACAAAGATTATTAAATTAAACAAAAATAAATAATTAAAAAATATGCTAGTTTATGAATTAGTAAAAAATACATAATATAATAATATAAGATATTATTAAAAAAATAAATTTTTGACTAAAAATATTTAATTATTTAAAAACTGATAGTTTTTAAAAAAAGACATTTGTTTAAAATCATTGTCCATTTTTTGTTAATTATTTATCTCATTAATAGTAATTGGATTGCATTATTATTATTTATTTATAAAATATAGAAATATAAACTATCAGTTATGTTATTATATAAAATAATAAATTTATATTTAAAAAAATAGACAATATTAAGTTACAATAATATATATATACTGTATTGACGTGAAATGAGTTTCAATTTAGTTATTAGAAAGAAAGAAAGAGAGAGAGAGAGAATTAAAATTAAAATATGAGAATATCATGTAAAACAATATTTTCTAATTTAAAATAGTATAAAAACATTTTTTTGAAAATAACAATAATAAACAATATTAATATAATTAAACCGACAAAACTTTATATAAATAAAATAATAATACATATAAATACTGTAGTATTAATATAGAGTAGAAAAATAATTTTTATTAAAATTTCAAACGTTAGTTGGATATCATATAATACTGTAATTGTATTATAAGTCATATTGATATTTGATAAAATTCATTATATATACAGTATATTCTAAATTTATAGATAAATTATTAAAAATATATTTTAATATAAATTATTAGAATTGTTTTTTATTATTATAAACTAATGGCCGATAAAAGCTATGACTATTGGGATGATAATGATGACGATAGCACTTATAGTTTGGACGATAGCTCAGAGATACCGCAGCCAATGTCCAGCAAAGAGCTACATGAGCTGTCACCCGATAAAATGGCCGCCAATGAGAAGAACAACGAGTCGGCTATTATCAAACAGACCATTAATTTTGGTCATCAACTGAAACAATGTGAGGCCATTGTTAGTGCCGCCTATCGAGTGGCCGATTATGTGCCGGAAATCAAAAATGCCGAACAAAGCAAGTTCTGGAAAGAAACTGTAATTATTATTATTAAAAAAAAACAATTTGCTATTTATTATTAGTTTTAATTAAGAAGTATTTTTATTTATTTAAAGTATTAATAAGTATATAAAATATTTCTATTAATTAATTTAATATAAATTTTTTAAAAAAAATACCGTAATATTAATGATAAACTATTATTTTTTTTATATAAAAATAGATTATTCCTATTTTGGTGGACAGTTTGAAACAGGATGTATTGGCCCGATCGGTAATAACATCTAGTTTTGCAGCCGTACGCGATCTAACCATTACTATACAAAAAGTGTACGAAATTGTTAAGTTTAGCAAAGGTATGTACAGTATATATATATATGATATATATATATATGTATATGTATATGTATATACAGTATATATATATTAAACTCAATCAACTGTATAATTAATAATTATAGGCAGTCAGGCAGCCATAGCGGTCGCCAAGAAAAATATACCGCAAGCCTTAAGCCGATTGAACCAATGTATCGAAAGGGCTAAACAATTGGACTCAAATGCCATCAATATATTCGGTGAACAGACAACTAAAATCTTTCATATCATTGGTCCGGAAGCGGCAAAGTTTGCGGAAGAAAAGGCCAAAAAACAACATGAAATTAATAAATATTTTGACGATAAAAACAAATTAATTTATCCAATCGCACAGTTAACTGGTAAGTCTATGTTTTTTTTGTTGATTAAATTTTTAATTTATAACTAATAGTATACTTAATAAATTATAATAATTAAATTTTTATTAATTGTTACTGTAAATTATAAATTTTATAAAAGTAATCAAATTAATAACTAGATATACTATACAATATATATAAATTTGATACTCTATAAAATTTACATACAGTATTTTATATAAATTTTTAAAAAAAAAATAAACTATTAGGTGATATTGAAAAATATAATCATCTAATCAATGCAACCAACAAATACTTGGGTCGGGTTGAGTCGGAATTGGATGAAACTAAACGCCGTACTGAGGAAATGTATCGATTGAAAAGGGAGGCCCAGGAGTCCATACAAAACATACCGGACACTATTATTGTGCCCGAACAACAAACTGAATCAAAAAGTTTTTTGGGTATAAAATGGTGGTCAAAAACATCAACAATATATGTTGAAGTAATTAATTTTTTTAAAAAAAATTTTAAACTAAAATAACTTAATAAAATAGCTGTATTAAAATAGTTTTGAAAATATATATATATATTTTAATTTATATAATTACATGTTGTAGTTAACTTTTAGTATACGTATAAATTATGATAAAATTGTCAAATTAATGAAATTTTTTAATTTTTTTATAAATATTTTTATCTAAATTAACACAAGGATTCAAATCCTCACAAACATTCAGATTTAAGACACTATGAAAATGCTGTCCGCGTTCACGCCGACCAACTAAAGGCTAACCAATCCGTAGAAACCGGTAAACAATTAGCTATGGAAAGACTGTCCGCAGATAAAGCCAATTATGAGAAGCAATTGATGGCAAGTTGTAAACAATTGCAACAATTGAACGCAGATTTACCAAAACAAACGGATAGTATTAACAAACAAATCAATAAGTTATACGAAGAAATCGATGATTTAGATAGAGATGCGTTTGAAGCGTACAGTAAGTATGGACTACAGGGCAACACATTAGTAGACTGTTTGATAAATGTGCGAACATTTGCCAAATCTATTAAACCGGGAGCGACAGCATATTCACCGCTACACTCCATACTAACCGGTAAAATATCATATTATTAGTAATATTAATAAATAATAAAATAATATTTTTAAAAAAAGTTATTAAACAGTGTAGAATATACATCATATAAATGTTATGTATTTATTATTAATCTGAAATTATTTTTAATATCTTATTATTCAACTACATATCACCCACTGTATAGCAACTAATGACTATAGTAATTATATTATGCTTAAATTATATTTTTAAAATTTTTTATAATTAAATTATAGTAATAATAATAATAATATATGAAATTTTTTTAGCAATACTGTATTAATTAACTAATAATTAAAAAAAAATTATTTTATATTTTTTTCAGCAATTAAGGCGATTGTCGAAACTTATGTCGATTTTTTAGGGTCGGGTGAAGAAAAATATGAAATATTTATGGCAGGTCAATTATTGATGCGCCAGGTCGAATTTCTATCCAATTATAATTTATTGGCTATCGATACGTTTGCACCGTCCGATCAATACAATAGACAGTCGCAAGGTTTAGATGGTAAAATAACCATGGCCATTATGGCACCTCCCAAATAATAATTATTATTAATTAAATAATAATATGTCTATAAAAAAATGTATTTAAACTGTATAACAACAATTATACAGTTTATTTTCAACAACAAAAAAACTAACTACTTAATAATATTGTTAATTATAAAATTAAGTATTGTAACTTTTTATTAAAAAAAATTTATCATAAAATATTCAAGTATTAATTAAATAATAATTAAGTATTTTTCTATAAATAAAAATTTTGATCTACATCCTATTTTCTATTATTTGAATTATAAAGCAATTAATTTAAATTAATAATAAAATTATATATAATAATAAATTATCAATTTACAATTATACTAAAAAAACTAATGCTTATAAATGTTTTGATAATAAAATTAATTGATTACGAATTGATTTTATTAGAATATTTAATTTGAAATTTATTTATTTATTTGAAAAATAATTTAAAAATAGAATTTATTTTTTATATATTATAAATCAATTGTCAATGTGTATGTTGACTAATTGATTGTAGGCAAACATAAACATGAATTAGTAAATACCAATTAAATATATATCAATTACAAATTTAAAATTTTGCAAATTATTATTTGTTTTTATAATCAAATATATAAGATTTTTTTACAATATATTTTTCAAAAAAATAATTATTATATTTATTGTATTAAATTGAAAATAACTTTAAACAAATATATTGTTAATAAAAATCTTATTCGTTTATTTTAATTATTGATTTAAATAATATGAAAGTTTATGAATTAATAAGAAAAATCGAAACAAAAATACATATATCTATAAAAAAATATGAAATTATGAAAAAAACATTTAATTATATTTATTTTTTAGAAAAAAATTTAAATATTTATTTATTGTAAACATACTTTAAATGCATTTATCGGAGTCATAGCAAATAGGTTTCCACACATGAAGCCAATTATTTGTCTATTATTTTCAATACTTTCTATAAATAATTCTAACTATAATTTTAAAAAAAATATATGTTAAATATAAATATATAGATTAAATAATTAAATAAAATACTAATGAAAAGTATAATTTTTATAAACAATAAATTATTCAATATTTATAAATAAAAAACAATTTAGAAATTTGGAAATAAAAATCAATAAATTAATAATGAAAAAAATTATTAGCTATATTAATATTACCTTAATTTTATTATTAATACTAATATGATTGCTAAACATTATCTTGATCATTAATCTATTAAATAGCAACTGGGACAGTTTTACTTGATTGATAACTGATTTGGACATTGTATTGATCATAATTAAAAAACTTATGGCCGTAAATGCAATCATACTAATAGGTATTATTGAAAAATCTAGTTTACTATACATTACTTCGTGAAATGAAAACAATAGGAACGGTATATAAGTAAAGATTAACGAAACGAATATTTGTTTCCAAAATTTATTATAATTGTTAATCATATGAAATAATTGAAAATATTTTCGGTAAACTTTCCAAATATTTTTTTCCGATTTAAATAATGAATTATTTTTGGATAAATATTTTGCAAATTTTTTATTTAAATAAGACACACATATTCTACTATATAGACATATAATAATAAAATAAACTGATGTATAATGTGTTATAATTATCATATAATAAATAAAATGATTGAACACTAAAGCGGATAATATTTCAGATATAATTACAAAATTTTTCCAATCAAAAAATATAATCATTATTATCAAAGTTATAATTAGAAAACTATATTTAATATAATAGGTTGATAGTTGCATAAATTTATATGATAATCTAGCACGATTAAATAGATTATTTATAGCATGGTTGTTTTTCATAAATAAATTATTAGTAGTTAGATCACCATGCAGCACATCAATCACCTGGAGCCATTTGCAAATGGATACAGGTGCTCGTAGAAATACTAGACAATAACCAGCTGAGCATAGGGTGCATACAAATGCAACAATTTCTAAATATATAGTTATGCCACCAATATATGGTATTAAATCCAAATAGTACCATGGTATATAGCCAAGTTTATTTATGGTATAAATATTTACTAAATATCTAGTTGTTAAAATTAATATATAGATAAATGTTCGGGTACATTTTGATCTAGCTAATTTGTTGTCATCATAATTATTGCGATGTCGATATAAATAAAATTTATTGAATGGATTTAAAATATTTTTAATAATCATTTTCAACTGATAATATTTTAATTTTTGTTATAAGTTATCGTTTTTAATATGATATATTTTTATTAAACTTTATGAGTAAAAAATATATTTTCAATATAATTATTTACTTACGTAGATCATATAGTATTTTAAATAACTATTTTAAATAAAATATAAGTTAATTATTCATCAAATAATACTTGCAATGCCTGTAAATTATCTGATAGTATAATTAATATAATATTAGTTAAATAGTATAAATATGAGTTCAATAATAATAATATTAAATAATATAACAATTATATTTTATTAAGTATATTAATATAATTTTAATTGTATTTATTTTGCACCTACTTTAATTATCATTATCATTATTAATAGTGCAATATATTTATTGTAAATAATTAACTAATTAATAAGCTAAAAATAATAATTTTTTCTATTAATTATTTTTTAATTTTAATATAATATTAATTGAAATTCCTAATTTAACCTAATTGTATAACAATTTATTTATGTGATATTATTCAGTTAATATTATTTATAAATAATACTAACATTTATTATAATTATTTTTATTTTAAAACTTATTTTTCATAATAACAAATATGTTTATTAAAAATTTATTAAATGGATTTCAAAAATATTATTTATATAGACAATATGATACTATTGATAATTATAATAAAACTTTAGCTAAACAAAAATGTACTAGAACATTTATTTATGTCATATTAAGTTTACTTAGATATTTAGTCAATATATATCAAATAAATAAACTAGGTTATGTACCATGGTACTATTTTGATTTGGTCCAATACATTGGCGGCATAATTATACATTTACAAGTTTGTGCATTTGTTATCAGTTTAGGTGCCAGCGGTTATTGTCTAGTATTTTTACAAGCACCTGTAGCTAGTTGTAAATGGCTCCGGGTTATTGATGTACTACACGGCAATTTAGGTGTTAATTATTTATCTATAAAAAATCACCAAGCTATTGACAAATTATTTCGACACGCTAATCTGGCTTATAAATTTATCAGGCTATCCCATTATTATATTAAATATAGTTTTCTAGCAATTACCATGTTGATTTTACTAATATTTTTTGATTGGAAAAATTTACTAATATCTGGTTTATTATCCGCACTATTGTTCAATCATTTTGTTCAGTATATGATAAATATAACACACTATACGACACTGTATTTTCTAATTATATGTCTATACAGTAGAATATCTATACAGTATTTAAATCGGAAATTTATAAAATATTTGATCAATAATTCAGAGTTAATGTCGACTAAAAATGTTTGTAAAATTTATCGAAAATATTCACAATTATTTCATATGATTAACAATTATAATTTATTTTGGAAACAAATATTTCTATCGTTAATCTATACATACATACCGTTTCTATTGTTTGCATTTCATGAAGTAATGTATAGTAAACTAGATTTTTCAATAGTACCCATTACTATGATTGCATTTACGGCCATATCATTTTTGATCATGATCAATTCAGTATCCAAATCGGTAATCAATCAAGTTAAATTATCTGAACTATTATTTCATAGATTAATGGCTAAAATTGTCTTGCTCAATTTTAGTATTAATACTCAAATTAAGGTAAGTGTTGCTAAATAATTATTTGTATAATTTTTTTGTGTGTATTTATATATATATATATATATTTAGTAAATTGTTTGCAAAAGTATTTATTAGTTAAATAAAAATAAGTGTTATGATTTTATTTTTATAAATTATGATTTATTTGTATTGTTATATATATATTTATAGTTACAAACAATTATTGAACGCATCAAAAATAATAAACAAGTTATTGGCTATACGTGTGGTAATCTGTTTGCAATGACACCAATCAATGCGTTTAAAGTAATTTTATTAAAATAAAAAAATTGCATTTAAAAAATCTAATTTTATATAATTTATTTTATATATTTTTATTTTATATTAATTAGATATATGTATTTTTGGTCAGATTTTTCTTGTTGATACATAAGTTTTCACATATTTGGATTGAAAATCATAATTAATATTTTTAAGTAATATTAATTTACAAAAATTAACTTATTCATATTTTTTAAAAATCAAATTAATTAATTTTTTATTAATAAAACTTTTTATATAAATTAAATAAATAAATTTAATAAGCTAAAAATTCTATAGTTTAACATGTATTCCATTGCATTAAATTAATGTACAATTTTAATTACTTTTTTAATATTATAATACAATTTATTTTATAATATGATTAAAATTTAAAGCATACTATCAATAAACTATTGTTTATATTTTATATAACAATATATTAATAGAAATAATAATAATTTAATCGTTTTTTTATTTTAGTTTTTAATTGACAAAATAATTTAAAATTAATATATTATAAAAAATATATAACTAATTTTTTAACAAACTGTAAACTATGTATTTTAGAAATACTAAGTTTAAATTATTTTTATAAAATATTTTAATTAGAAATTGAAAGAATACTATAAAATAATTTATAGAAATTGTTACAAATTAATTATTATTAAAAAAATTAATCAATTAAACTTATTTTATTTTTAGTAAAATTATTATTAGTAAAATATATTAAAAGTTATTTTTTAACTATCTAATTAATTATATAAACAATAATTTTTACAAATATATATATATATATATTATTAAATTTATGAATGATTACCATAAATTTTATTAAAGTCAAAATTACTATTACGTGATATTTATATAAAATAGTTAAATTAACTAAATTAATTTTTGACAGTTTTCATAAAAATAATAGCTATTTTATTTAAGCCCAATTAAATTTATAACAATAACATAATTTATTAAACTTGAAAATTATTACAAAAACAGTATATCTAACAATATTTAAAATTCGTAAAATTAATTGTTCGTAAAAAAATTATTAAATATTTTATTAAATCCGATGCATAGTTATTTTATTTGTCATATTTGTTATTAGATTTTTAGTATTAACAATAATAAATATATTTATTTGTTGTAACTATCATTAAAATTATTTTTTTTTAAATTATGTATGAAATTATACGGCAAGTTGTTTACAACACAATCATTATATCATTGACTATATCACTGACCAGTTGTCACTATTTGGGATTTACTGATCCAAAAATACCGGTCAGTATCGGTCTCGACGACGACTGTCTACGAGACCTAACCAACAGTTCCGACTACACGGCCTCTATGGATGAACTACAGTTGGATTGGCTTACAGATGATCAGTCGGCCCATCATAAGTACGAGTGTTGTTACAATTGGGAGGCACTGGACATACAGGAAAAGTTTGTCAAAGATATTTGTGGTATATATTTATTATTATAATTAAAAAAAAAATTATTATTTAAATGTATTTTAAAAATTATTATAATAGAAAACCTAAGTCAATAATGTATAGTAAAATATATATATATTTAATTTTAATAATTAATTAAAATATATTATATGCTATTAGGATAACATTATGAAATTATATTTAATATTATTAATAAACAATCATAAATACAATAGTAATAATAATAATTACAATTATAATATAAATAATTTTTTTAAAGTACATATTTTACTACAGTATAATAAATAAATTAATATTTAAAAAATTAAAATAGATGGTAACTCTACTAGTACATTTGGTGAGCTGAAAATCAAGTGGATTGAAAAAGTTGAACAGGATCATTGTGGCAATTTGAAATACAGCCAGGTTATGTGTCGACTACCTTGGTGGTTGTATGCAATGTTGGCAGTTATTATTACTATTATTGTTGCAGTTGTCGGACTAATTATCTATTTTCGTGTTATTGCCAAAAATAAATAATCAATTTAGCCAGATATTATTGTTTAGAAATACATTTTAATTTAAATGTTTTTATCTAGATTAATTTTTTTTAATAAATAATTATATTGATAACAAAAATATTATAGTTAGAAATTAAATATTTAAAACAATTAATAAAATATAACGTAAAACTATATTATATATTTAAATTTTTATTATAAACTTAATTATAATAATTTTTTTTAAGTTAGAGTTTTTCAATTATTGTATTTTTTGTTTTATCATTGTAAATTTTATAAATAAAAATTAAAAATATATAATGAGTAATACTAAAAATTTATTAATTAAAAAACAATAATTTCAAAAAAAATATTTATATTAATATTAATAAAATATTATTTACTTTACAATAACTTTTAAGCACCACAATTATTTTTGTATATTTTAAAATACAATACAATATATAGTGTATAATATATATTATATACTTTATATCATATAAATTATATAATATTGTTTGTTGTTATCAAAACTAATTAAATTTAATATACATAGAAATAATTAATTTTATCATAAAATGACATGAGTTTGAAACAAACTATATCATAGATTAGTTTAATTAACTTTAAGTTTAAGTGCAAAAATATTATATTTTTAAATAGATGTTAACAATTACAATATACAGGTATATACTGTACTGTATTGTATATGAATAAGTACAGTACAAAAATAAATAAATATTATAAATAAACATTTAATTATAATTAGATAAAATGTTTCTATTAATTATTGCATTAAATTAGATATATATTTTTTGTTAAATATTGTAGTTAATATACTTTTATCATATGATGATAATATTGGTATAATTGATTGTGAATGAACTAGAAATTAGACCCCAACACAAATAGTGTATAAGTACATACATATACAATATAATTAATATATATACTATATATACAGTATACATAAAATTTTACACATACACACAAAATGCACTAAATAAACTGTATTAAAGTATATAAAATAATTTATCATATATTTCGATATAAAATACTATTATAATGTAAATATTATTGTGAAATAATTACTAAACAAAATAATTGTATATAAATTTTAATTATTAAGGACATTATATTATTCACAACACTAATAAAATGCATTAAAACTATATAATTTTATATACAATAATTATCATAATATTTAGTGAATCATTATTAGTGATAAAAAAATACTAGTATTATGTATATATTATTGAGCGATAATTATTATAAAAAATAACTTTATATAAATTTTAGTTATTAAGGACATTATATTGACAATAGTGTACCAAAATATTTTAAGATCAGTGAAATTTATATAAAAAGACAAAATTTATTATTAGAAAATTATTAGTAAACAATTAGTTTAGTTTATTAACTAACAGTAATATTATTAGTAAATATTGTTAATTAATTTAATTAATATATAACAGCAAAAAAATGACTAAACAAAAAACGGCATTAATTTCAATGTTTGCCGCAGTCGGTCACGTCAACGCTTGTGTAGCAGTGGGACAGCGGCTATTGGACAGCGGTATCTATCGGGTAGTATTTGCCATCAGTGAACATATGAAAGGTAAACTGGAGGCGTATGGTTTCGAGGAGGCGCTCATCGCTGAAGATAAACCCCAACATAAAGATGCGGCAAAATTTTTAGCTAACATTTTGCTTAGTAGTGGTATACTTAAGGATCAGACACCGTTAGAAATGTTAAAATATCGTAAATCGGATCCAATGAATAGAGTCGAGTTGTATAAGAAGTTGGATAATGATATTGTTTCAGTGATCAGTGATGTCAAACCCGATGTCATTTTGATGGACCATTTTTTCTGTGTCCCATCAGTCGAGTTGTCCGGCATACCAGTGGTTTGGATATGGAGTGGTATACCATTGTTTTTGAATGATGATGAGCGACTACCACCCGGTGCTTCAGGTATATATATAGTTATATAATTTACAAATTGTATATTATATTTATTAATAAATAATATTATTATTTATGAAAATGTTTTTATAGGTTATTCAGTTAATGGCAATAGAGATGAATGGAAAGTCTATAGAAAATTGATGAATAATGCAAACATGAGTTTATGGAATCAATGGAACAACTATATCGTTTCGAGAGGCTGTCCACCGCTCAGGGATAACAGTTTTTCGACAACTCATAAATGGCTTACAATCTATGGCTATCCAAAAGAGTTAGACTATACAGATATTGCACCGATGGCTAAAAATTACATACAATTTGATAATCTTATGCGACATGAAAACAATAGTATTGAAAAATTTGAAATACCAGAACAATTGAAGGATAAACCGGGAAAACTTATATACTTTTCGATGGGATCTATGGGTGCCGTGAATGTAGAAAATATGAAACGTTTGTGCGCTATATTAGCTAAATCTAAACATAGATTTATTGTATCAAAAGGACCCAAACATGACGAATACGATCTGCCGGACAATATGTGGGGTCAGTCAACACTACCACAGGTATCGGTGTTGCCATTAGTCGATTTGGTCATAACTCACGGCGGAAACAATACGACTACCGAAACGTTTAGTTACGGCAAACCTATGATTGTGTTACCACTGTTTGCCGATCAGTTCGATAACGCACAGAGACTTCAGGACAAGGGTTTAGGTATCCGTTTGAATGCATATAAGTGTACGGATGAGGAACTGTTGACTGCCATTGAAAAGCTATTGAATGACAACGAGTTGAACGAAAAGTTGCAGAAAATTTCAAAACGAATCCAATCTGAGGATAATTTACAAAATTTTCCCAAAATTCTGGATAATTATCTAAAAGATCCGACGATTTATTTACAATAATTACTAATTGGTTAAAACTTTAGTATTTAATACCTTAACTTTCATTAATTATGTTTTATTTATCTTTATTTTATTTTTTTTTAATTTAATATTCTTATTATACGGAAACTAATTATTTTAAAAATTATAAAATATTTTACAAATATGTACTAAAAAAAATAAAATCAATAAATAAATTTTAATAGTTATAAATATTAATTATATTTAGTTTTATTAGTTTTTTACCACTATTTGACAATTAGTTTTGATATTGTATAGAGAGTTCAAAAAAATATAAAAACCAATTCAATCGGATAATAGTTTAGAAAATATTTTTTTAAAAAAATAAATTCTTTGAAAAATATTTGATATACTGTATACTAATAAAAAATACTAATAAAATATACTAAATATTTATTAATAATTTTCTAATAATAAAGTTTGCCTATTTATATAAATTAATTAAATATATTAATATTTGGTACACTATTGTCAATAATATCAAAATAGACAATAAGTGAAAATAACTGATAAAAAAATAATTTCTGTATAGATAAAAATAAATAATATTTTTAAAAATATTTTTTTTTAATTTTGGTACTTTATTAAAATTAAATGAAAGTAATTTAGCTAATAATTACATAAGAAGTTATTAAAATTATAAAATATTAAATACTAAAGATTTAAACAATTAATAATTATTGTAAATAAATTGACGGATCTTTTAGATAATTATCCAGAATTTTGGGAAAATATTGTAAATTATCCTCAGATTGGATTCGTTTTGATATTTTCCGCAACTTTTCATTTAACTCGTTGTCATTCAATAGTTTTTCAATGGCAGTTAACATTTCCTCATCCGTACACTTATATGTATTTAAACGGATACCTAAACCCAGATCCTGTAGTCTCTGTGCATTATCAAACTGATCGTAAAACAGTGGTAATACAATCATAGGTTTGCCATAATTAAACGTTTCGGTAATAGTATTGTTTCCGCCGTGAGTTATGACCAAATCGACTAACGGCAACACCGATACCTGTGGCACTGTTGACTGACCCCACATGTTGTCTGGAAGGTCGTACTCGTCATGTTTGGGTCCTTTTGAAACAATAAATCTATGTTTAGATTTAGCTAATATAGTGCACAAACGTTTCATATTTTCCACATTCACGGCACCCATAGATCCCATCGAAAAGTATATAAGTTTTCCCGGTTTATCCTTCAATTGTTCTGGTATTTCAAATTTTTCAATATTATTGTTTTCACGTCGCATAAGATTATCAAATTGTATGTAATTTTTAGCCATCGGTACAATATCTGTATAATCTATTTCTTTTGGATAGCCATAGACTGTAAGCCATTTATGTGCGGTTATAAAACTGTTATCCCTGAGCGGTGGACAGCCTTTCAAAACAATATAATCATTCCATTCATTCCAAGCACTAATGTTTGCTTCATATTTCAATTCTCGATACACTTTCCATTCATCTCTATTGCCATTAACTGAATAACCTATAAAAACAATATACAACTTATATAAATATTATAATATGATTACTAATCAATTTGTTTAACACACAAACATACCAGAAGCACCGGGAGGTAGCCGCTCATCATCATCATTCAGAAACAATGGTATACTACTCCACACCCAAACCAATGGTATGCCCGATAGTTCAACTGATGGGACACAGAATAAATGATCAATTAGTATGACATCGGGTTTGACATCACTGATCACTTGTTCCATATCCTTATCCAACTTCTTATACAACTGAACCAAATCTACTGGACCTTTACGGCTATGTTTCAACATTTCAATCGGTGTCTGATCCGTAAGCATACCCATCTCTAGCAGTTTTTTAGCAAAACATTTTACCGGATCCACAACTTCGGGTATGTCCTCCGGGATGAGCGCCTCCTCAAAACTATAGGCCTTCAGTTTGCCCTTCAATAGTTCGCTGATGGCAAACACTACCCGATAGTTACCGCTGTCCAGTAGTCGTTGTCCGACTGCTACACAAGCGTTGACGTGACCGACGCCGGCGTTTACCGAAACTAATGCCGTTTTTTGTTTAGTCATTTTTTTATTAAAAAAGGTATTAATTAAATAATTAAGTTAATACTTATTAAAAAAAGTCACTGTTTGATATTTTTTTTAATAATTAAACTAATAATAAAAATTTGTCTTTAAATATAAAATTAAATATAAGTGTACTGATAATTTATTAATAAATTATTATGTAATTATGACTTAGCAACTAATAAATTTTGAAAAGTATGAAAAAATTAAATTTCATCGCAAAAATAATTAATAAATAATTAAGTTAATACTTATTGTAAAAAATATCAATGTTTTATAATTTTAACTACTATAGTTTAATAAACTAATAATAAAATTTTCTTTTTATATATAAAATAAATAAATATACGTGTAATATAATAATTTATTGATAAAAAAATAATGTAATTATGATTAGAAGGAAAATAATAATTTAAAAAATAATAAAATATTTACAAAAAAAATGTTTTTGAATATATATTTTTTTAGTTAAAACATTAAACATTTATTTGTCTATATTTTATAATATTTAAATTATATAAATTATATGATTGAAAAATATATAAATTTCTGTAAAATTCTGCAATTTTCTCTCTTTAACTGACATTTTCTGCTAATAATATTTTAATCTGTATTTTTGTCAAAACTAATACAAGCAATACATTAGAAATAATTAATATATCGTAAAATTTATAATTAAATGAAGATAAAATAGTTTAATTTATTATTTTAATATTAGTTAACAATTAATAATATATATAGTAAGTGGTTAAGTACTAAAAGTAATTACAGTATATTGATATAAAATAGTTTATTTTGTGTAGTATTGAGATAATTACTAAACAAATATCTATTTATTAGGATCATTGAATTTGAGGATAATTTACAACATATAATAATATAATAATTTATATAATATATATGTTATGTTATAACTTTGAAACTTAGTTTTTAATAATTAATTTATATTTAGTAATATGAGATTGACAAAATAACTTATTTAAATTTATTTATGATATTTTTTTGTAAATTAATTTTTATTTATTTATTAGTAATTGTTATTCTATTATTTGTTAGTATAATAAATTATAAATATATGCACTGTATAATAGTAATAACAATAATAATTATTATTTAATATATAAAACTATTTATAAAAAAATATATAATTATTATTTACATATAAATTTTTAAATATAAAATAAATTATATTTTATATTATATTCAATATAATAGTTATATCATATAAATTATATAAATTTTTGTAAAATTCTGCATTTTTCTGTCTTTAACTGATATTTTCTGTTAATAATATTTATTATTAAACTGTATTTTTGGTATTAAATACATAAAAATAATTATTATAAATAAACATTTATTTATAACTTAATATATAGAAATTTTTGCTAATTATTGCATTATACAACATATTAAATATTTTCCAATATTAATTTACTAATTATTTATCATATGATAATTTGTGATATTGAACTAATAAAATAAACCTAAACTACACATAAATAAAAGTACATACATATTGAATATATATACAAACATATTTACATAAACAGTTATACATAACATACAAATGCACTAAAAAAATTGCACTAAAGTATAGTACATATTAGTAATAATTACTTAATGAAATCAATATTTTTGTTTCATTTATAAACGTACCATATTTACGGTTGAAAATTAATGCAAAAATATATAGTTTTACATTTGTTTTATGATTAGTACTATTTATATTTATTAGAGTTATAAGTTATAAAGTGGTTTAACATTTAAAAATTATTATAGTGTATAGTATACACTGTATACAGTATACCGGTATAAATTGATAAAAAATAGTTTATATTGTGTGTTATTGTGATAATGTACTAAACAAATAAATATCTTTATATAAATTTTGGTTACTAACTTATATTGATAATTACATTATACTTTATCAATATATTATTAGTACACGTATTTTTGATTTTATATATAAAGAGAAATTTTTATTATAAGTTTATTAAAATAAATAATAATTAAAATATTATTTTAAAACAGTGATATTTTTTAAAAATAATTATTAACTTAATTATTTAATTAATACATTTTTTATAAAAATGACTAAACAAAAAACGGCATTAGTTTCGGTAATCGCCGGCGTCGGTCACGTCAACGCTTGTGTAGCAGTAGGACAGCGACTACTTGATAGCGGTAACTATCGGGTAGTGTTTGCCATCAGTGAACAATTGAAAGGCAAACTGGAGGCGTATGGTTTCGAGGAGGCGCTCATCGCTGAAGACAAACCCGAAGCTAAAGATGTGGATCCGGCAAAATATTTTGCTAAAAAACTGTTGGAGAGCGGTATGCTTACGGATCAGACACCGTTGGAAATGTTGAAACATCGGAAAAAAGGACCAATAGATAGAGTCCAGTTGTATAAGAAGTTGGATAAGGATATGGAAACAGTGATCAGTGATGTCAAACCCGATGTCATACTAATTGATCACTTTTTCTGTATCCCATCAGTCGAGTTGTCGGGCATACCATTGGTTTGGATATGGAGTGGTATACCATTGTTTTTGAATGATGATGAACGACTACCTCCCGGTGCTTCAGGTATGTTAGTGTGTGTGTGTTAAACAAATTGATTAGTAATCATAGTATAATATTTATTTTAGTTGTATATTGTATTTATTAATTTATTATTAATTTAATTAATTTTTATAGGTTATTCAGTTAATGGCAATAGAGATGAATGGAAAGTGTATCGAGAATTGAAATATGAAACAAACATTAGTACATGGAATGAATGGAACGACTATATCGTTTCGAAAGGCTGTCCACCGCTCAGGGATAACAGTTTTACGACCGCACATAAATCGCTTACAGTCTATGGCTATCCAAAAGAAATAGATTATACAGATATCGTACCGATGGCTAAAAATTACATACAATTTGATA